TAGATATTATATAGATATTATATGTATATATATATAGATATTTTTTGTGGGGATATCTAGATATCCAAATAATGGTTTGATGAGTAGTGGTTCCATATACTGAAGTGCCTATAGGTGGGTCGTTTTTTGTTTATAATCCACCAGGGTCATTTAGCATATTGTAATAAAAGCAAATGAATTTGCTTTTCTTGTCAAATATTGACCCTGGTAGAAGACGACCAAAAACCATGCAAAAATGACGCAAAAAAGATGCAAAAAACGATGCAAAAACAAACGCGTCGTAACAATCGTTTTTGCATTTATTATTTTTTTAAGTAAAAGTATTGCAAAGTTTAAAAAAAGCAAACTGATAGTTTATAAAACTTAGAAATTTTATTTAATGTTCACTTAGAATGATCCAAAATGATCCAAAACGATCCAAAACGATCCAAAACGATAATAAAAATAATAAAACAACAATAGTTACATACCGTTGTAGCAGAGTTTGACTGGACAGGGCGTTGGTATAACTCCTACTAGAACATTCGGAACACCACCATCATGTACTCCACCAGTACCCTCATCCAGTACACATGTCAAAACTATTAAAATAAGAAAACAAAAAGGACGTGTCAACTTTTAATATAATTAAAATGATTAATAAAATAAAATTTTTTCCTGCATTTCTTTTACAAACAAAATTAGAACTTAATTTTTTTAATTTGAAAAATGATAGAATACTTCTTCCTACTGTTTATTAAACAGCAGATCAAAAACGTTGGCAGAGATTATTATTTTTCCTATATAAGCACTAAGATTTAGTATTCTTAAATTTATGTTGGTGTCAAATGTCAAATGTCTAATGTTTATACCTCTGGGCTGATCTGAGTCTGGATCTCGAGAGAAATCAAATAATTGATCTCCGCTCTCATCGGACCAACCAGATTCTGATAAACCATCTTTAAGGCTAGATTTAGTGATGTAACTTTTATTCCAAACCAATATGTATCTTATGCAGTGTAAGCTTTAAAATTTAAGGGTACTACAATTAAAAAAAAAATCACTTTTTTATTTGAAAGTTGACAGGAAAATCTGTAAGATTGTTTTAAATCTACATCTATATATAACTTTGATTTTCTGTTTGTTTACAAGCCATTAAACGGTAAACGGCTGAACCGATCTAGAACTAACATTTTTAGGCAACTCCTATGAACCCAGGGAAGGATTAATATTTGATCTGAATTTGAAAAAATGCCTTTAAATGTTTTAAACTTTTTTAAATCCACGAAAAAAAATCAACGAAATAGAAGAGCAACAACTAAAATTTAAAATCGAAGCTGGGCGCGAGGCACCCCGGAAGCTCGTTTTATTATTCTGTTTTTTGTTCTATGGTAAAATGTAATGATGAGTAAAGATGGTCCCTGTGTTGGGTAGAACCCCAGTAAGTCTGCAGGGTATTGCTAGGCAAGGTCTGTTTCTCAAGTTTTACAACTCTTTACTTACTTGATGTACTACACAAGTATTCCCATGGTCCAGTAAATATATCTCAAACATGTTCATCACATCATCAGCTGATAAACTCTTCTACAAAATTAATAAATACAGCGGCTCCAAAAAAGAATGAGATTTAAAAGACGGTTAAAACTCTTAAAAAGGATGATTCAAAGATGGTCTTTTTTACTGTAATAAAGTCTTTAAAATTTTTTGGCAGAATTGTTGGCGGCATAGTTTTTTTTGCCTAAAATATAATTTTTTAGAGAGGTTTTATTTCTTCTTTTTTTTCTTTCTTTTCAATGAAATTCAGATTTGAAATTTAGGTGTTTTGAAAATAAGGTGCTCCGACACTTCGGGTGTTTTGACGTTTAGGCTGTTTGAAATTTAAATGTTTTGAATTTTAGGTGTTATGTTTATTTAGTATTTTATTACCTTATTAACTCTAACAATCCTTCCTCGTTCCCATCCTTGATCCTCTTCCAGATATACAGCAACATAATCTCCTACTTGACATCTTATCCGCCTTCTGTTGTCAGAGCTCTGGGAACTCTTGTATTGTGAATATCGAGATCAATGTATTTACAGATTAATTTAAACTTTATCCCGCAGTGTAATTGGACCCTTAAAGGGAGTGACCGGCTATGTAAGGTAGTTAAACTGAGTATGCAATGTTGTGGACAAATTCTTTAGGATTCATTTGAGACATATTAAAGATTAAAAGTGTCCATTTTGGATATCGAGATTAAGCAATCAGAGTTGTAAGTATCAAACACAATAGTTCCCAGCTGAGAGCTGAGAATATGAGAGGTCGGAGTATCGTTAATCTGGAACCCTTAATCTCGGAATCAAATGAGTACTATTTAAGGAATTGAGGCACAAACTCAAATTTTTCAATACCTACATCTTTGCAACCTAATGGTGTAAACCTTTGATATTTCAAACATGGATTATTTGATCTGAAAGAATTCAGAGTTTGAAATATTTTAGGCCTACGGCATTGGGTTGCAGAGATATAGAGATTACAAATAGAGTTTATGACAAACACTCAATTCTTGAAGGCGCTAGAAATGAATATAAATTTAGACATCGTTGAAAATTCAAGAACAGTTTAATCTTCATCTATTACAACTTTAAATATCCGTTAAAGCTATCCCTTCAGGGCGGCATGACCTCCATGGAAAATAGAAGAGGAATTAGAATTTGTATGTATTTTTATAAACGAAAAAAATGTCTCAAAACAAATTCAAAGTTTTGCATGTACTCGACTTTCTACATACGATTCACCCTGCTCAGTTTAGCTTCCCAAACATGACAGTAGCAAGGCAAGAATTGAATCAGAACTTTGAATTTATTTGTGACATTCAGTCGTCAACCTACTTTCACATGGTGGATTCTTAAAACAATAACCATAATATTCTCCTAGTCCTGCATATTTACAAAATGTGGTCTGCCTTGTTGTGCTGTCAATATTACCGGAGATATTAAAAATTTCGTTCAGATTTAAATTTTATTAAATAAAACCAAAATTGTCGTTATCTGAACAAAATTATTTATGTCTCATTGTTCAACAAAAAGGCAGACCACATTTTGAAAATGCCAAGACTAGGGGTATTTTGTAATTATTACCATTTAGAATTTTACTAAAATGAGGCTTACAGATATATGCCGCAAATTATTTTAAGGATCAAAGACGAACTTCAATTAATCTTGCTACTGTCTTGTTTCTTGGGAAACCCTGCACATTAATAGGATAAAGCGTGAACATGGAAACTAAGAAACAATATCTAAAATCCCCAAATAGTCTTCTTCGTCAATTTTTTAAAACTACGAAATGTCATCAGAAATTTGCTATGAAAAAACGTAAAATTTTCAGGACACATTTCTATAACGTACAAGGTACAACGTTTCAGCGACGTATTAAAAAAAACATTCCACAATTTTCTGGTTATCACTGTAAAATAAAAAAAATTTTTAGCTCTGAATTCCTTGGTGTATTTAGCATCACATAATCTTGAATTTGCTTCTCCATTTTCTCCTTCTCTGCTAACTGGGAAGTCTTAAACACAAATATATATAATACTAATAAAAGTAATAACTGGCTGAAGTGCCCGGCGTGGTCCAGGTCACTCATAGTTACTCCCTCCGTTTACCCGTGCTGGGTCTTAAATTATGATTTAAACTAAAGTGCCCAGTGCTCCCGTGAAATTTGTAAAAAATAATATTTTTAGCCTATGTCACCTTGGCTTTCCTAAAAAACTTTAAGCCAATTTGGTCTAGCAGTTTGGCCAGCTATAGCAAACATATCAATGAGCAAAGAGCTTTTGATATATAAATAATAATAAACAACAACAACAACAACAACAACAACAACAACAACAACAACAATAACAATAACAATAACAATAACAATAACAATAACAATAACAATAACAATAACAATAACAATAACAATAACAATCACAATAACAATAACAATAACATTGAATAAATGAATAAATGAATAAATGAATAAATGAATAAATGAATAAATGAATAAATGAATAAATGAATAAATGAATAAATGAATAAATGAAAAAATGAATAAATGCTAACCTGGGTAGGTTGAGAGTCTAGTAAGTTTGTATATCCTGTTCCTGGATGAAGAGACAGTTTCCTGAGTAGCGGGGTAGGTTCAAGACCAACCTCTTCACCCAACCTCCTAAATACATACCGTACACCGTACAATGCACAATTCATGTAAACTGCACAGTTCATGTGTGAACAGAAAATATGTACTGTACATTGTAAAATATATCTTTTCATTCTTTCATTTAACATTATTGCTATTTACCTTACAAAGTTTTTACTTTTTTTTACAGTTTGATAGAGATTAGTGTTTTCTTAATATTTCTTTTCTCTCTCTCTGTTTTTATCTTATTCTCATTGTTTTTGGTGTTGGGACAATTTATAGAAAGACATTTAATAAAAAAGACATTTCGAAGACACATAAGTTTTTTCATAGATTGATAAGATAAATTATTTACTTCTTTTTCGCAAATAATTTGGCTTGATATAAAAACCATGCCAAAAACGAGGATTTTCGATAATTCTAAAATTCTCCAACATAAATCATGCCTTTAATCGTTACCAATTTTAAAAATCGATTTATTTCAAAAATTCCCAAAGGAGAATTTGATTCCTGGGTTGATTCCCCTGTGATTTATATCTTCCTCATTGTATTATATTTTCAATAAGAGAAATTATGATTGAAAACATGATTTCAATCAAACTTTAAATTAGTTCAGTTGGACGTACAGGGTTACCCACAAAGGACGAGACTTCACAGACTTTTGTATGGAACTTGTTTACTGTTTATTCTGTTTTATTTGCATTCAGGGTTCCTTGTAGGTAAAAACTGGCTTAATGCTTAGTCATTTAGTAAACCATCAAAAACGGTGGATTTACTTCAGTTGGACGTATTATAAATAGACATTTCATAGAGACAAATAAGACAAAGATCAGGAAAATTATTTCATTTTCTGTCTTTTAGAAAACTGATTTTTCTTTGTCCATGAATTTTCTTTTAAAAATGTCATTTTTTCCTTTAACTTTATTAGTATTATAAGAATATTGCTATTTGACTAGTTGGGGCACCCAGCTTTACCTGGAGATCTGTAAAATTTTTCAATCCAAGCTAAGAACATTCCGCGTGGTTTTATCAATATACCCAATCAAAATTTAAGTGAATTCGGTCCAGGGGTTCATGAGTTCTGATCAGACAGACATACAACAAACAGATGTTCACAGAGATTACAACGCTAAAGGGAATTTTAACCGTAATTTCAAGTGAACTTCCATTCTATATAAAGATGGCAATATATATCAATGTTAATAATTTTAACACCCGATTATTTTCAATTGCGGTTTCTCTACAAAAGTGACTTGCGCAATTATACTGCAGGAAAAGATAAAATAACGATCAGATTTAAACACTTTTAAATCTATAAAAACGACAATATCTTCCACATTGTTGATCATTTGAAATTAGGCTGACATTCCCTTTAATAACCTGATCTGAAGATAATGTTCCTTGTTCCTTACTCCAGTTTTAGTTGAGATTATCTCTTCTCCTATCTCCAGGTTGTAGGTCAACCTAGTCCTGCACACCTCCCACACTTCACATCCAGCTAGTAGGATAGTAATCAAGGAGGAGTAGAACTAAGGAGAGGAGTAATAGAGAATAATAATCATTAATAATAGAATTAAGGAGAGGAGGGAATAATCAAGGAATAATAGAACTAAGGAGAGGAGGATAATCAAGAAATAATAGAACTAAGGAGAGGATAATCAAGAAATAATAGAACTAAGGAGAGGATAATCAAGAAATAATAGAACTAAGGAGAGGATAATCAAGAAATAATAGAACTAAGGAGAGGATAATAATCAAGGAATAATAGAGCTAAGGAGAGGGGCAAGGGATAGTAATCAAAAACTAAAAAAACTAAAAAAAACTAAAAAACTAAGATAAAAAAGATAACAAAGATAATAAAGATGACATGAACAACAAAGATAACATGAATAACAAAGATACCAAAGACAACAAAGATATCAAAGATAACATGAATAATAAAGATAACTTGCCTATCCAGATAATTTCTGGTGAGCGAAGCAGTATTTTTCCGCGACATTCATAGTAATCATCCTATAACAGAGTTAAAAAGTTGTAAGATTATCCCCAAATTCTAGCAGTTAGTCTATGGGCCCAAAGCTAGCACGTCGAAAGCTAACCTCTTACATAAGAGATCCCAGGTTTCAGATTCCAGCCAATTCTAGATTCGGAGGAGGGTGCAGTATTAATGTTCTGAAGAACTGGGGTTCCTTATCCTGGTTTAACACGTCCTGACAATTTTACCCTCGCAAATTGGGTTACAATGTTCTGACAAATTTGTTTTCTATCCCTCTTTTTTTTTTTTTTTTTGACAAACTCTGGTTTCCTGTTCTGAAAATCAATTTACCTCATGCCTAAAAATTTGTCTACCTTTGCACAGAGGAAAGGTGGGATTACACTTCTCTGAATATGGTTGATACAGTCAGTGCTCCAGTTCTTAAAGCAAAATACAGACTCATTTAATAGCTTGGGAACTCAGTTTTCCCTTGAAATGTCGACTCAAAATAGAAACATCTCATTCATCAAATTCATATCAAAGAAAAATAAAATCATTGATTTGTGTGTGTGTCCACTGTCCATAATAATGGAAAGAATTAATTCTGTTAATGCAAAAATTAGATTTATAATCTGCTTTCCTCGTCTTTGTCCGGTGGTTTGTAACCTAAACAATAACCATTAAAATGTTTTTTTTTTTCAATATAAAACATTAAAAAAGGTGTTTTTAATAGTTTTCTACCTGCTAAAACTACAAGCTGAGCTAGAGGTGGGACTTCCTTAAACTGATCTGCCAATCTAGTAATTTAATAATATTCTATCTATCTATCTATCTATCTATCTATCTATCTATCTATCTATCTATCTATCTATCTATCTATCTATCTATCTATCTATCACCTGTAAATAGATGTTTTCCCAAGGGTTGTATTCTCCCCTGTTTCCAGGTATTGAACTTCAACCTTCTCCACCAGCTCAGTTCCCAACAGACAGACCTGGATAGAAAATATATTTGAAAACTAGAAAGCTTGGAATAGATTAGTACTGCACACCATTTTCTTCGATCTTCAATCTTTCTTAATTTTTTACTTACAAACATTCCTTGTTTTGCCCTGTAAAAATTTTCGATGTAATCAAAAGAATTAGTTTACAGCCCAAAGGTTCAAAGCTCTCGTGCAAAAATTTCATGTGATTTAGTGCGTTGAAATAAAAACCAAGGCGTGGCGATACTTAAAAGTCGACCCAATCTTGAAAGCTAATTAGTAGATTCTTCACGTAGAAATTTTTTAAGAAAATTTTTGGCTGACCCTGTTCAGAAGAATAATGATAGATTGAGGAAGCCCAGAACCCGAAATTTAAAAGAGTATCGTTGGAACCCAAAATTTAAAAGAGTTTCCTTTTTTGGGGTCTTAACATTTGTGTAGATTTTAATTTAAAAGATTCGAAAAAATAGACAATATAAACAAACTGAATAAAATAATATTTCATAACAAAAATATTGATATTCACAATACTGCCTAACTCCATTCGTGAAACCCGGGTATTAAAACTGGTTTTCAGAACGATACCCTGTCTTAAGTTTTGGGCTCTGAAAGGAAATGCTGATAGCCCGGGTCATAGAACAAACTGTAACTTGCTGTTACTACGACTATAATTTCTAGGCATAGCCCTGAGCTCTGATTTCAAAATTGGATCACACCTCGTTCATTAGTCTCAGGTCATAGCATTTGATAGCTGTGACTTCGAGTCGCAGCTAAGCTGTAATCCAAGCTGCGAAGTCATAGCAATTTGACAGCTTAAATTAAAATCTTACTGGGCATTTGCACAAAAAGCGATCTCTTTAATAAAGTCGTCTTTTAAATAAGGACTAAATCTTTACAAAAAAATAACTGTATAACAAAATCCAAAATACTAAATTCTGAAAATTTCATCTTATTTTGTTGCCAAATTTGTCTAAATTTTTTTTGATTTTCTGCAGATGAATATGCAATTTCCATTTTTTTTATTCGAAAAATTCATCCCCCCCCTGGACCCAACATTTGTTTATTAAGAATTTACATTTTAATTGCAATAAAATCTAATCAATTATCTTTTAATTTTGTAAACAAAATTAACTATTCTTATTTGATAAACTAAAAGTGCAACAATATAACAAAATATTAGATTTGATTTTCCATATTTTCATTTTAATGGCTGAATAATTGTTCCAATTTCAATAGGATTCTGTAAATAATGGCGTCCAGTTTGTTCCCATTAGCTGTGATTTAGCTGTGAAGTCGGAGCTAAATCCTAGCTGAGGTATGATTTGGATCAGCTGAAATTTTGCTACGATTAGAAGTCACACCCAAGGTCCGATCTAGGTGTGTTAATTGACTAGAAAACAGCTTTAACTAGCTACAGCTCAGCTGTCAAGTCATAGCTACAGCTCGATCTATGACCTGGGCTAGTATATGTGGCAGGAACTGCCTTGTGCTGTACACATTTTAGCGTACACAATTCGAGCATCTTTGTTACTACATTTCAGTTTTTTTTTGCTTCCTTATTACAAGGTTGGCGATGTATATTACAATTTTTTGTTCTTTTGTTTAGATTTGGCAGCCGTGTCACAGACTTGGACGCCGTGCCACAGATTTGGCCGCCACGCCACAGACTTGGCCGCCAGGCCACAGATTTGACCGCAGTGCCACAGACTTGGCTGCCATGCCACAGACTTGGCCGCCATGCCACAGATTTGGCCCCAATGCCACAGATTTATCCCCGTGCCATAGATTTATCCCCGTGCCACAGATTTGACTGCCGTGCCTTAGATTTGGCCACTGTGCCACAGATTTGGCCACAGAGCCACAGATTTGGCTGTCGTGCTACAGACATGGCTTCCATGCCACATAGATGGCTGCTGTGCCACAGATTTGGCTGCCATGCTACAGATTTGGCCACCCTGCCACAGATTTAGCCGCCATACCACAGACTTAGCCGTTGTGCCACAGATTTGGCCACCGTGCCATTAATATCCTTGACACAGATTTGATTGTTCCACCAAGGATCTGGCTGGTGCATCAGATTTTGAAGGGCCACAAATTTGGTACGCCATGCCAAAAATTTGACCGCCATGCCACAGATTTGGCTGCCGTGCCACAGACTTGGCCACTGCACCTCAAATTTGGTTGCCGTGCCACAGATTTGGCCTCCGTGCCACAGGTTTGGCCACCATGCCACAGACTTGGCTGTCATGCCACAGATTTGGCATCAGATTTTGCAGGGCCACAGATTTGGCTGCCCTGCCACAGACTTAACTGCTGTCCCACAGATTTGACTGCAGTACCTTAGATTTGGCTGCTGTGCCACAGATTTCGCCACCATGCCATAGACTTGGCCGCTGTGTCATAGATTTTGCTGCCATGCCACAGATTTGGCCCCCCTGCAACAGATTTAGCCACCGTACCACAGACTTAGCCATCAGATTTGGCCACCTTGCCATAGATTTGGCACAGATTTGATTATTCGGCGAAGGATCTGGCTGGTGATCAGATTTGACAGGGTCGCAAAACGCTAAGCAATAAACGGAAAATTTGGCTGCTTTGCCAACATTGTATTTTTGTGTTGGCAAGTAATCAGAATGCTTCAAGGGCAAGGGCATTAATCATGCATTTGGGGTGCTTATGACAGGCAGTTAAATTCTTTTCATACCTCATATTTTTCCAAATTCCAAACAATCAAAACACTACAGAGATGTTTGGAAAGAAAATATAAGCTGGCCAGATATTTTCTAAAAAATACTCGAAGTGAGAGAATGAAAATAATATTTTCCGCCCCCCAAAACTAAAAAGGAAATAATTATGTAATTTTTTTTAGAGAAGTAATGGTTCTTAATGAGTTAAATTAATTTTCCTTTAAAGAAACGAAATTTTAAGTTTTCTATATTTCCAAACAGATTTAAAGCTCTCACCTTGTGCACAAAGGTGATTTTAGCTCGCTCATAATTATCATCTTTTCCCTTGACACAAACTAGTTCTCCAACCTTTATACAACAATCCTTTATTAAAGGGACTGTTAACGTAATTTCATGTAACCCTTAATTTACAGTGTAATGTCCAATTTACCACAGTACCCTTAAAAGCTACGTCTAGTCAAGAATGATTTGTGAATTTCTGCAAAAACAATGTAGTTAGTTTTATGACTAAAAACGATTTCTTAAACATTTTAATGAGATATAATAATAATAACAATAATAATACTAATGATAATAATAACAATAAAAGTAGCAACAGTAGCAACGGTAGCAATGGTAGCAACAGACGCTAACGCTAACGCTAACGCTAACGCTAACGCTAACGCTAACGCTAACGCTAACGCTAACGCTAACGCTAACGCTAACGCTAACGCTAACGCTAACGCTAACGCTAACGCTAACGCTAACGCTAAAGCTAACGCTAACGCTAACGCTAACGCTAACGCTAACGCTAACGCTAACGCTAATAAAAAAAACACTAAAAATACTAATACTAATACTAATACTACTACTAATAATAATAATGATAATAATTATAATAATAATAACAATAATAATAATAATAATTATTTACCTTTAAGTTGTTAACTGATTCTATGATTCTGTTCTTTGGTTTACTATAATACAGTGCTAAGGATAGTTGTAGTAGGATCTGGTCCTGGCTAACTTCGGGTTGGTTAGCTCCAGGTTGGTGTATCTGGGTCCAGTAGCTCACAGGGCTCTGTACCCGGAGTACAGTAAACCTTATTTCATCAATCTAGGTGGAAACTTACTGAGTTAATTTACTAGAAATTGTTCATGAATTTTTGACTTACCCTTTACTTGCCGGTTACTCCTTATAAATTAACAAAAAATGAAGAATTAGATACAGTGAAACCCACAAATTTTCAATGAGTTTTATACTATATTACTTAAATTTCAGTTTTTGCGAAAATAAATAAATAGCAATGAATATGCGGGAACAGTTTTAAAGAGTTCCATATAATTATTTAATTAAAAAACTAAATATCTGCAACATTCGATTCTCAGAAAGTGAAGAATACGACATTTGATGAATTCTTTCGATGTATTTGTTATTAAGGGTTTCACTGTACATATTTTTGTTAAAAGTTTAATCAGTTGAGTTTCCCTGTTTATCTGGCTTTTCTTGAATAACACTTTCACCTAGAAACAGTTTTTAAATAATTTTACTTGGTGATGTTAACAACAAAAAAAATCCGTTTTTAAAATTATTAACAATAAAAATCATTGTGGAATTTTATATGTAGGGATTATAAAGTACAGGAGCAATGTTATGTAAAATATATTTTATACCCAAAGTGATCACATTTTTTTCATTAATATCCCAATTCAATTAATAATTATTTTTTCAAAATTATTTGTTTGTGGGAATTTCTTACTTTTCTTGTGATGTCAATTTTATCCTTAGCTTGGAAAGTAATTTGACATGAAAATCCCAGTTTGTGCTTGTTTAGTTCCCTTTCATCCTTTAACCGTGCAGGCAGGGTTACTCACAAAGGATGAGCCGTCAAAGACAGCATTACAAAATTTTAATGAGGATGAATAATTTAATCTCTTGTAAACCTAATTAAACCTATAATCCTGGATCCAGCAACTAAGCAAATTGAGATTACCACTTCTGGATACAAGGATTAAGACGGACTCAGGGTTGGCATGAAGAAACCCACCCAAAAATACCCAATAAAACCCACTTTAAAATCCCACCTGTAAGTGGGCATTTTTGGGTTTTATTGGGTTTTTTAGAATTGTTCTAACTATTGCCTTTTTTTCACTCTTAAAATGATAAATAAGGCCTAATATCAACTGTATTAAGTTTAACCCCACCATACCCCCAATCAGAAATATGTATCCAAGTGAGAAAATAGAAGTAGTCTGAAATTCATAGAACTACAAAAGTGATATTATTGTATTTGAAGAGTATTCATTAAGACTACAGCCTATTATCACAACAATATTATTATTTTTCATAACTATAAAGTTCCATCTATTGCTTAAATAGCCTTATTTTTATGAATTAGTACGAATTTTATTAGGTTTCAATTACTTTCAAATTGAAAAACCAAAAAAAAACAATAAACCCCAAAAAAAATCATAAAACCCACTGCGCTATTTTTTTAAAAACCCCTTTTTTCCAACCCTGCAGAAGGTTATGTAATTATTCATTAAAGGGATTTATAATGTTAGTTTAATAAGGTTGAATAAAAAACCTTGAGTTGAAAATACAGTATTAGGATTCAGGCAATGTCTGACTTGGCAAAGATCATCCTCAACTCTGAAACAGAATTTTAAAAAAGTCATATTATATATTTTTTATTCTAACAAAATTCAGTAGGTTGCTAAGATATAAGGATAATAAGATATAGAGAATGAGGTTTTGTCAGTTCCTTTCGAGTCAAGATAAAGATTAAAAGGAAATCTTGGTGAATAAACAAAAGGGCGCCTTATGTGGAATTAGGTTATTTTTTTTTAGTTTGCTGGGCTTATGTAATTATTCTTTTTTGGTTTAAGGATTTTATATTCTTTATGACCTATTATTCCTGTTAAAAACCAAATGTTTTTGGAAGTAGGCTTCTAAAATTTCCTATGATAAAAAAATTTAAATAGGTTTGGAAGTAGACAAACAATTTGTCACTAATAAATTAATTACCTGCATTTCCCAAATTGGATTGTCTTAGCGCAAATGGTATTCTTTAACTCAGACATTTCCCTTTCCTAGAATTGCAATGAATTCTTTGTACTTTAAAGGGAGAGACTGGCTAGACATGGTAGTTGAGCTATAAGTGCAGTACTGTAGAAAACAACTTTTGGATTCATTTGATACAATGAGACATTTTTAAAGTGTACAATTTTTAAATAATAACATCAAGTCATTTCTAATATTTCACTATTTGTTTTAGTCAGCAGAAGAAAGTGTTTTACAATTTAAATAATTAGTACATTACTTATAAAAAGTATAGTACACTACCATATAAAATGGATAGATCGACCTTAGAAGTATTCTTCATCATAGGTCCGTAGACGGGATACTACTATACATTCACTCCCAGTTGTTAGTTTGAATTAAGTAGCTGGCAAATTACGTTTCATTGAAATGATTAGAAATAACCTCTTTTAAAACCAAACTTTGAAGAATTACCTAAAAATGATCATCCTTAAGTTTTGGTGGTTAAAAACCGAGTGTACAAATAGGATTCATTAGTTATGAAACGTTACAAAAATTTTAATTTCCGGTCTCTCATTATTCTAATAATCATCTATAATCTGAATAATATAAACTAATTTGGATTCCTGCTGGCAGATGAATATATGAGAGGACACTACATTCCCCAGCCCCCTTGTCTTCGACATATGACCTCTAAGTATAGAGAACCGAGATTTGAAGGTTAGTGGTGAAGATGGAAGATCAGAGTGAATCAGAATATCGCCTGGAATAAAAATTAATTCTACCAACTAGAAAAATTGATTTCTACAATCTATATTCTGCATGAGTTGTTAATGTTGACACAAAATAGTTTAAGCACTCAAAGCTAAAAACTTAAAAAGCTTTTGGAAACTTAAATTTGAGGTTTAAATCTTAGTTAAGGACGTACATCAGCTTTCTTAAGGAAAATAATTAATTCCTATATCTGCTGACCAATAAGAGTCCTAAAGAATTCAGCTTTCAACCAATGAGAGCATGAGATAGCTGATTTACAAACTCTTATTGGTAAAAAACTTAAGTGTACCAGGACTCCTATTGGTCAGCTTTAAGAGATTTAAGAAACAACTAAGGATAATCCTTTGACCAGGGTCAAGGACTAAGGGAACCAGTTAGCAAAAACTTTTTTTAAAACTTTTAGTTAAACCTGAAATCTGAAGTTTCTGATTCTCTGGAAAAATATTCCACCAAACATCTGTGATAAGAAGAATTCTTCCAGCAGTTATCTTACCCAGACCAAGCTAAACGACAATTCAAGGTTGGCATTGAATTTTTTAGAAAACAAAATGACCCCCCCTCCCCATTCATTTACTGAGTGAACCATGCAATTTAAAAATGCTATGATGTTAAAACAGTTCTAACAAAACTTTGAATCTAAGACCCTGTTTTCTATGATTACGTTAGATTCTATCTTTTACCTACATATCTGTAAAATTATAAAAATACATATCTTGGAAAATTAAACAATGTCCCCCGTCTCTTGCAAGGATTTAGGGTTTGCTTCAAATCATTTTTTTCCAAAATAAAATATTTTCAGATCTCCGATTAAATACCGTTATTTATCTGGGGCAGTACAAACAAATGTCCTCCCTCCCCTCAAATGCTTTAAGGTTTGCTTCAAGTAACTTTTTCCCCAAAGTGGTGTTAGAATAACATATTCCCAGATATCCAATCAAAAACTATTATTAATCCGGGGCAGTATCCATAGAGAATAGAATATATATTAGAGGGGAATTTACTAGAAAAAAGTGTAAAACGGCCATTTTGTTGTACTGTTTCCATACTGCAGGTGTACTTCACATATTTATGCTATATAACCTTTTGGGCCCTGGAACATCATTTTATAGAAAATCTAAAATTAATATTAAAAGAAAACCAAATTATGAATTAGGCTGGTTTCAATTGACCAATGATCATTTCACATAGACTCTATGCCTTTCACTTTACAAACGATGATTTTCCGTTAAAACTATGATCAAATGATTTTTTTATTCACCTAATTAATTATAAAGTTTATTTAACAGCTTTAAAAAATTCGAAATTGAAATGAATGGTCTAGGGAACATACTGTATTAATGTACTCTACTGCATATAATCTGTGAACATTTACATGATTTGTACACTTTGAACTCCCTTTCAGGCTGGAAGGGACTGAAAAAATTCATACCGAGAGATTCTTTAAATTCTCCTCTATTATATATTCTATTCTCTATGACAGTATCATAAATTTCAAAAAACTAATTATTTAAATATCATGAACATTCCCATTTATTCCTTACCAATACATTGTCCTTCTCTTCTTCATTTTCCTCACGTAGAAAAGTTGGATTAAATCCTTGAATCTGTAGTTTATCATAAATAGGTGATCCAGCTTCTCTATCCTTAATTTGACAGGGGTATATAATTTAAAGAATACCTATCCCCCGAAACATTTTTTTTATTTTACTATTTAAATACTTAAAAGGACTGTTAAGGTAAAATGAAAGGGGGTACAGGCTAAAGCTTAAACATTTTAGGACTTGATCTCAATCGATATTAGTTCTATCTGATGTCCCAGTCTTAAGAAATTGATATAAAACTGTTTTAAAGTTATCCCAAAATTATACAGTCCCAATCAGAAAGAACCTGAATTAATTTACAATAACTCAGAGGACGTTACAATCTAATTTTTCAAATATGATTGATGAAACAATAATCACAAAATAGCCCTAGTCCTGCCATTTCCAAAATGTGGTCTGCTTTTATTTAGCATTTGAAATTGCCAGAGATATATATAAAGTGGAGTGATTAACTGTCAATTTATCCCGGGACTTTCTGATTTTTATTGTATACATTAAAATTTGAATATATTATCCAATTTTAATAGATATAATTGATACGCCTGTTACACATGACCAGAATATCCACCATACTGCAGTACAGTATCTGGTCACATGTCTCTGTCTTATCATGTGACAATGATAATGGCATTTTCTAAGCCTATTTACGACAAAATTAGCACCTGCCCAATAGTATGGACCTGTTCTGCTTATCTTAGGGGTATTTATTTATTTTTATTCCGAAGAAAGAAACTTTTAATTTCATCACAGACATTTTTGATTATATTTTAGTCAATTACATATATAAATCTGAAGCTGCGAGCAGAAACCTTTGACATCCTGAGACAGCTTTAGTTCATAAAATGTTTAACAGTATTAACTAAGAAGTAATTGTCATGGGAGCATTATAGAAAGTATTCCATTGTATTCAAATATATGGAATATGTTGAGTAAGTCTACTAAGCTGTTTAGTTTCAATTAAAAAAGTTTTGAACCAACATTCAATAATTAAAGAAGCAATTCATTTTATGATAGAAACAAGAGATTGTAACAATCCTTTCACTCATCAGAATTCATAGTTTAAAATATCAAAGTTCTACGACATAATATTTCATTGATTTTTGTATTAACAATTTAGAGTTTTCAGCTCCTTACCTTACAAATAACAACAACGTTATTTTGCCGATTATCTTCACAAATCTGAATGATTTTCTCCACTTTTTTCTACAAAAATAAGTAAATTTAAATTGATAGGACATAGGAATTCTGTCTTTGACACAGCCTCAAATTTCTAAACCCTTTATATTTGCAACCTGATGGTGTAAACAATTCTGTTCCCAGCAAGCTTTAAATTTTGATTGAAATTTGACCAATTAAACCTACATTTTTCTCTGTTTCTATTTTTTCTTTTTTGTTGACAGATGCGTTTAAATTAAAATGTTCAAAAACAACAATCTGTAAGTTTTAAGATTGTTGAATTATAGAATAAAATAAGATCTAATTCAAATTGAAGAAAACGAACCCATCTTACTCTGGTTCAGAGTCCAGAGTGAAGTTTTACAATCAAAGAGGGTTCTTGTTAGTGGTCAGTATTTTTGGAAATACAAATTTTATATTAAAATTTTAGGTTATTTTTCAGTTATGATAGACTTTTTTTTATGTAAAATTTGTCTGGAATGTACTTTCCGCGTCCTATATCCTTGTCTTATTCTGCAGATTGACCCATCCATTGACTCAGACAAAACCCTTTTGTGATTTCAGGTAAAAATCCATTTCAAGCAGACTTTTCTTATTTGATCAACCTAATGATTAACCCTATGGTTTGTTTTTGAGATTTTTAGACCTTTAAATGGTCACACACCATACTGCAAGCATCCAACATTCCATCAAGGCTTTTTGTCTGTAAAAGGTTTTTCCTCAGAGGAAATCTAAGGAAAAAACTAAAAAAAAAAAAATTGATAATTTTAAAACCATTTTTGGTTCCTTTAGTGCATAGGTTTTCTCTCAAGGTCAAAATCTGGCCTAGTAGTGTGAGAAAAGCAAATGTCTAGAATAAACTATTTTGAAATTGGAAAAATTTCTCAGATTTTTGTTGAACCTCTTAGTCTTAAAAGTCTAAAAACCTTAAAAATTTTAGTAAAACGAACCAATATGTCACATTACTAAACCATCTACCTCAGTTGAGGAGAAGAAGGCTGGAAACAGCGGTATCTCTCTCCTGATTGCGCCCTCCATCATATCTAAAAAAAAAGTTAGTTGAACCTTAACAAATTTGAATAAAATGACAAAACCCGTTTTTTTAAATCGACCATTCCATTTTAAACTGAAAAAATGATGATTACCTAATCTAAAAAAACTTTTATTTTACTATTATTCTTCACCTACCTGCTATTAGGGTAACTCCATTGTTCAAAAACATGCTGCAGTAATTCTAAATTTAAATCAAATCAATATGTGAGCAATCAATTTTGAAGGGTCAACTCTATGAGTATCAAATCAATGTAGGATCTTTTAAAAAGTTTTTGGCATTGAATCAATTAATGAGCATTAAATCACTTAGGGAGCAGAAATCAATTAATGAGTTACAAATCAATTTAGGACCTATCATTAATCAATTTAAAAGCATCAAAACAATTTTTGATCATCAAATCTATTTGTGAGCATCACATCAATTTATGAGTCAAATAAATTTATGAGCATAAAAACAATTTATGAGCATAAAAACAATTTTTGATTATCAAATCAATTTGTGAACATCAAATCAATTTATGAGCATCAAATCAAGTTATGAGCATAAAAACAATTTTCGATCATCAAATCAATTAGTGAGCATCAAAACAATTTGTGAGCATCGAATCAGTTTATGAGCATTAAATCAATTTTTGAGGATCAAATCCATTTGCAGGAGCCCAAAAATAATGCATGAGCATTAAATCAATTTAGGAGCATCAAATCTATTCATGATTATTAAATCAATTTTGGAGGATCAATTAAATCTATGATAATCAAATCAATTTAGGAGCATCAAATTAATTTATAAGGGATCCTCGACTCAATCAATCAGAAATCTGGAAAATGCTCCAACATTTGACTTTTCCAGGAGGGTTTAATTTTTTCAAATATAGAAGAACAACATGCTCAAGGTTCAAAATCCAAGAGAGAAATTTGCCTGTATAGCTGTACACCAGTATTCTCCAACTACAATTAACTGCTGGAATGGTCGAGGCTCATTATCCCTAAATCAGAAAAAGTTAGAATGTCACATCAAAAATAAAGGAGATGCAAATACTTCTGTAGAATTGGTGAGAGGATGCTGGCTGAACATTTTCATTTTATTTGGGTATCTCTGTACAGTGTACACTCTGTTAGATAGTGAAAAAACATTATAAAAAAACAAAATCCACAAAATTGAGTTATTGTTTTCTATTTGTGCATAATTTTGCATATTTTTTTCGCTTTTCTTTTGGAAACCTGTGTTTTCAAAAAAAACAAAAAAAAAAAAATTATTTAAAATCAGACTAAACATTGGTAACATCACCCCAGAAATTTCTTACGGGACTTCATTTTAGTAGTTTAACTATTTTTTATTTTAAATTAAAACCTTACATGCTTTAAATCATAGCTACTCTTTTTAAAAGCATTGAGAAGAATTAATATTTACGATGCAACCAAATAACATTGAGTTTTCTCAATACCCTACCTGGCCTTTATATGGAGGTCTGGATGGGTTGCATCGAACTGCCTTGTAATATGAATCATCTCTTCAGGGAACAGTTCTAAAGTTTTGTGTGCATCTTCCACCACTAGATGACAGCATCTGACAAAACAATGGAATTAAATAAATCAATTGTATTTTAATGATTTAAGATATTTGGGTTGCAATTAAGTAATGTTGGGCTTGGTTTCCTTTTAGGGTGACATATCTGATTCACAACGATACTCTAATTGCTTTTTTAAAAGAATTTTCTGTAAAGTAATTTGCTCATTTCTGCTTTAGAAACATTGGAAAAAATGTCAAAATAGAAAAGTTTCTGCCCCATTCTTGATCCAAAAAAGGGTTGAAAGGTACTGTTATGTATCAAGCAAGCACCTCACTAATAGCAACACCATGCCAGTCCCTTTAAATTGAAAGCAATAGTTGGAGTTTTGGTCTTAAATGAGTCTATATTTGTTCAGAGGTTTGACACATGGAGTTAGATAAAATAGGTTCATGAGAATTAGTTTTGTCTTAAACCTCAAAATTAACTTTAAAAAATCTTAGTTTTGAAAATTGCGATTCAAAGGCCTCTTTATATTTTACAGACCTTGGATACATATTTAAGACCATTACAGCTATTTTAATTGAATTAAATTTAGTACAAAAATCCTTTATATCTAACTGTACATACTGAAAAAATATAAAAAATATTTTATTGCTGAAACATCTTATATTTTAGTCAAACTATTACTACCTATTGCCTATCAATATTGGCCTATTGCTATCCTTTCTTAAACTTTATGCTACTTCAATGAATAAAGAAGTTAAATCAGAAAAATAAAGAAATTGGTTAGTGAAAAAATTGTTTCAAACCATATTCATAGTTATATATTATTGGTGTTAGGTACTTTCCCAAAGGCATTTCCCCAAGTGACAATATCCCAAGTGGCAATTTCCCAAATGTGCAATTTCCCAAGCTCGGCAACTTCCCAAAAGTTAGGTTAGGCCTTCTTTGTTGCCGCTTGCTGAAATATGACCAAGCACTGCGGCTGGGATGGGCTTGGGGGGCCGAGCGCTGCAGCCAGAACAGGCTTGGGGCCCAGCACTACAGCTAGAACAGGCTAGGGGGCCGAGCACTGCGGCTAGAATAGGCTAGGTGTCGAGCACTTCCACTTGGGAAATTACACTTTAAGGGGGTTGACACTTAGAAAAATATCCTTGGGAAAGTGCCGCTTGGGAAAAGGCCTTTGGGAAAGTACCTAACATCATATTATTGAACCTGTTCATGTAGAATAGCTGTTTCACGGATGCACTGTACGAGTACAGCAATCTAGAACAGAACCCAAGATTTAACTTTGTCATTAAAATCTTGATGTTATTTTATAAGAAAGTTAAATCCTTGTTAAAAAATATCAAAGTTTTGTAAAATCTAATCGAGGAAAATTTAAAATGTGGAAAACAAACTTTAGTTTCAAAATTTGTACAGCCTGCTTTCCTATTGTGATATGCTGCTGCATTGATTCCAATTAACGCCTGGTCTTGGAATCTTATAAATGACTTAATATCAGACTGTGAACTGATCATTTTCACAATGATTGTTGCTTTAAGTAATTTCTTTGTCAGCCTCTAGGTTAAATTGTAGTGCTACCGGTTCAATTGTTATTTTTCCTCCATATTTATTGGCCAGGATGGATTCAAGACCGCATGGTGATGTGCTGCGCTCTGAATGCCGTCTGTGGGTTGGATGTCAAGTTTCCTTCCAGGTCTTAATATTTTTTTTTTAAATAGAGCCCCTGTATGCTGGTTGTACCTGTGTAGCTGAGGAGGGGTAGCCACCAGTATATCAGGAGAGTTGAGCAGAGACACTAAATATTCTCAGTTCAACAATTTAGCCCTTATGGTAATCAGCTGATTCAACAACAGATTCAGCAGCTGATGCAGCAACTGATTGCACAGCTGATTTAGCTGATTGATTCAACAGATGATTCAACAGATGTTGAATTGGCTGATTCAACAGCTGATTAAATAGCTGATTCAGCAACTGATTCAGCAATTGATTCAACAGCTGAATCAACAGTTGATTCAACAGCTGATTTAACTATTTAACAGATCTACAAGCTCTTGCAGAGTAAAGTGAATATACAGAGCATCCCAATTCCATTAGGTTATCACAAAGCTTTAATGGCAAATATGCACAGAATACTCAATAAATATTGCCTTTTCTGCATGCAAAAGTTAAAAAAACTATCCTAAAATAATTTATCTAAAAGATCCAATTTTTGAAATTTTTGGTTATATCCTGAAAATATCCATTTAGAGCAATGTATGATCCAATATAATGTGGGACACCCTGTATGTAAACTGAGAGAGAAAGAATTGGATTGGGTTTAGAAACTGGCTTAAGGTAACTAAATGACAAGTCCGGCTTTCCTTCACTGGGGAAATCCTAGTCTTTGTTATTGTTTACAATCTTTGTTATTGTTTTGAGAAAACTAGTTCCAAGCNCCCCAATGTAAATATAAACATATAAACTGGTATAATCAAGAAATATATTTTTGGACATTTTAAATGTTAAAGTTATGTAACTCTAAGATTAGATCGAAAACTTTTAAGAAAAAATATCAAATAATAAACTTCTATAAATCGTTTGAATCAACATTATCGCCATAATATTAAAACAGTTATTGTGTGTTACAGAGGGACTGTTGAATAGGAAAACGACATGTTGTTTTTAAGCGAATAAAAATCAACTTATTTAGTGAAATAGGTCTGTGTACAAAGTTCAATTGATGTGTTCCATGTTCATTAGACTATTTAAAATCATAACTGGAGTTCAACGGTAGTATATTGCTATTCCACAGCTTTATAGGGCCCACTTTTTGTTCATTGAATTTTTTTCAAAAATAGTATGTTAATTTTTATTGAACTGTTCCTGTCAGATTTAGATCTGAGACTGCATGATGTGCTACTGCTACTTCTAAACCCAGCCTAGAGTCATGAACCAGATCCCTGCAATAATATGTAGCATTTATTGAAGTGCTACTGCTACTTCTAAACCCAACCTAGAGTCATGAACCAGATCCCTGCAATAATATGTAGCATTTATTGAAGTGCTACTGTTACTTCTAAACCCAACGTAGAGTCATGAACCAGCTCCCTGCAATAATATGTAGCATTTATTGAAGTGCTACGGCTACTTCTAAACCCAACCTAAAGTCATGAACCAGCTCCCTGCAATAATATGTAGCCAGTGGCGTACATAGGGGGGGGGGCAGAGTCCTCTTGCCCCCCCTGGGAGTTCCAGGGGGGGCCCTGCCCCCCCCCCTGGAAAATACAAAATTAAAACGCAACAAATTCAAAAAGTAACAGCTGACAATGACAAAGACTAAGGATTTGTCTAAATTCACTGTTAACACAAAATTTTAAGATACTGTAAACTAAAACTTTTGCAAAAATAAGACCTCGACATATTAGATGCTTATAACATGATGGAAGATGTAATAAAGGTATTCTATTTTCTATTTTTCTTTTTTTTCTTACAGTCAATTATTAAAGGAATTGACTCTTTGGCACAAACTCAAATATTTAAACCTTTGGAATCTGATGTTGTAAACCTTTGATATTTCAAATTCAGAATATTTGATCTAACAGATTTCATAGTTTGAAATATCTAAGGTCTACAACCATAGATAAAGATAGATTGCTCATAAGACGACATTTTTCATCTTGAAAGATATCAATGAGATGTTTTAAAGATATTCCTATTATATAGATTAACTAAGTCGGTTGTAAACATTGGCTGTTATGTCATTGAGTACTTGTGGTGTACATGAGTTCTGTAGAGAGAAATTTAAGTTAGTTTAGTCCTTCTCATGTCCTTCTTCAGTTCTCGTCAATATGATATATTGCTCAGTGAAATATTGTTGTTCAAAAGTTCCATTCCCGGAGTTATTTTACACTCTATTCGGGAGGAATGGTTAAACCTAGTAGATTGGAAAAGACCCAATCCGAATGTTATCTGCAACGAACATTTTCCTAGTTATATAAAAGTGAGTGGGAAAAGTCTGCTGTTCCCTCAATTTGTAACATTATCGGAGCTGTTCAGAACTGCTCCCTGGAAACTGTTCTGAACGTATATAATTATGCCGTCCCAGCTATTCAAAAGCTAAAGAAAATGTATGACGGAAACACAAGCAAAGGGAAAAAATTCCAAAATCAGAGTTATTACCTCAAAGCTCAAAAAAGAAAACTCGGCGAAAAAATTCGCAGTCTAGAATATGTGATTGTCGAAATAAAAGACAAGTTCTCTTTACCAGAGGAAACTATAAACCTTCTTCACAGTTCAGCAAGTTAAATTCTGGAGGAGTTGTTTCAAAGAGTTATAAAAAAGTTAAAATATTGGGATTGTAGAGATAAATATCATCCAGCTCTCCAATCGTTTGCTTAGCAAGATTATTCTTTTTCAAAACCAGTGATTGTGATTGTAGACTAAATTTTTTTATCAATAAAAGTTTGATTTCATTATGCAAAAAGTTTTTAAATCTAGGTTTATAGACTGTTTGTTATCATTTATGAAACTTTGCCACTTTGACTGATTTTTAAGCCGTATATCTTTACAACTTGACGGTCTTTGATATTTAAAACGACATGAATTTGAGTTTTTGGCAAAAACTCTGATTTTTTATTAAATTTTCTCTATAGAGACAGCAAAAATTTTTATCCAATAGGTATCTCATTTTTGAAAAAATCAACCTGACACTTTTTTACAGAGCCGGAGTTGTCAAGGAAAAATCAAAAATACCTCAGAACTTAAAAATAATTGAGCTATGACCCTTAAATGTTCTACCTCAACCCAACCCCCCCCTAATTTGATATTCTCAAAATAAAATTCACTCCTGAGTGGTTTAATAATTATAAAATCCATTAAAACACCAAACCACCCCACTTATCATTGAAGTACACTTTCACCCCTAGAAGTATGAGTTCGCGGACTGTAAAATTCTTGGTGATTTTGCGTACATAAGCTATCTATGTTTATTTATTTATCTATGTCTAAAACATTTGGTTCCAAAGATATTCACAATGTTGCCGAGGGGGGGCAAAAATATTTTTTCTTGCTTCGCGCGAAATCTTGCCCCCCTGGCTTAAATCCTGTGTACGCGCCTGTATGTAGCATTTATTGATTTGGACATTAAAAAGCATGTGTTTTTATTCTATTAGAAACCTTTTATAAAATTTTTTACAAAACACCATTTGTTCCAGTCTGAACAGTAAACATACCTAAATTCTAGGGGAAAAGATGATTTTCCAAGAAAATATATATTTATTAAATATCCTACTTGATAGTTTCAGCAAGAGATTCAGCTGTTGTATGATCAGGAACAAGAACAAGACATGTTGGGTCGCCTCCATAATCTAAATGTATAACTTTCTTCTTTCTTTTAATCTTAAATAATCGTGAAGAGTTCTGTATTTAACAATTGTTATAACTCGACTTTTCTGAAAATGTTTAGAGCTGGGAACTTTTGAATATCGAGATCAATGCTTGATCCTCTCTTTTTCTTAATCTCGAGACTGACCTAAACTTGTACTTGTATCCAGAAAAGTGTATTAAATTCAACCAATCAGAATCGCGTATCAGAAACCGGGAAATTTTAAATTTTGCGCGCCATTTAAGATTACAATACAGAAACGGGAGGGTCTCTCGAATTTTGAAAACCCGGTTTTTGATTCATCTGTACTAAATCCAAAAACGAGTGGGTTAAGCAAGAAATTAAAAGTGTCCTCATTGGATATTCGGATTAAGCAGTCGGGATTACATGTATTCTATTCTAAAGTTCCCAGCTCAGGGCGAAGTTTTTGAAATATATTGCAAAACTCTTTGTGACATTTTATTCAAGGCGTGCAGAATTTTTATCTCTTTAATGAACAAAAAAATAAAAAAAACATTTAAAAATAAAATGAAGATTTAAACTTACTTTTTTCAAAATATTGACATTTTCCAAGAGGTTTTTACATTTTGCCTTGTTGTGAAAGATTCAACAAGAAATAAAATGTAAAAACAATTTTTTTTCCGGCATTTGAGTTGGGTATTTAATACAAAATTATCTTTGATTCTTAAAAAGCTTGTTTAAATTTCACAATTGAGTTTTCTATTAAGAAAATATTTTATTCCTGGGGGGGGGGGGGGGGTTTCAAACCAGATTGCATGTGATTGTTGAAGCCATGTTTATCAAAGCTTTAAAATGATTAGTAGACGTTTAAAATTATTAGTAGACGTTTAAAACGAATAGTAGACGGTCACTCCCTTAAATAGTTGACCTGGAGTAAGAAAATCATATGTTGTATTCTTCTTTGTCTCCAGTTGGTTCAATAGCGGCAGGATCCATCCATACGTCTTACCCTAGACACATATTATACAGTTGAAGGGATTGTAACCGTAATTACAAGTCACTTTTCAATTACAAAGTGACATGTCCAATTCCCAATTGTACCCTCAAGTCTGCCCCCCTGCCCCCCCCTCTTCTACTTAGCTTGAAGTTTATACCTGAGATACTCCTGCAATTCCTAGAGTTGAAGATAGTGAAGAAACGACCGGCCACATTCCTTTCTAATAAAAACAAAGTTAAGGGGATATTTAGCAATTTCTAAAAAGGGTATTGGAACAATTAATAATTAAAGTTGAAAGGAAGAACGTGCTTAAAAGGACTGTAAGCCTCATTTCAAGGTACCCACCATGCAAAGATAACAATGCCCTATTTAATAAAGGTAACTTTCAAATCTTGGTCTGATCAAGAATTAAATTAGATATCAATGTTTATAAAGTTTTGAAAACCGATTATTTTTTAAAAAACACTTTAAACCTAGAATAACGAAAATATCTTGCACATTATTAATTAGATACAGGATTTAAGGGCACACATTAATATATTATAAATTGGAATTTGACAAAGGAACTGAGTTTTTGCCACAAATTCTGATTTTACAATCGCTATATCTTTGCAACCTGATGGTGTAAACCTTTGATATTTCAAACTATTATTATTTGATCTAACATACGTCATAGTTTGAAATATCTAAGGGATCCAACGTTAGATTGCAAAGATATAGGGATAAGAAAATCAGAGTATTTGACAATAACTCAATTCCTTTATTCCAAAACGTCCGTGCATGTATTGAATAATGGAAAGTGCTAATATAAATTGAGGGATACAAGAGAGGGGGGGGTTCGATAAGAAAGGAAAAGAACTATAAGGTGGAAGGGAGACTATCTTTGATATTTTTTTGTTTGTATGGTAAAAAATTAATTTTAAAGAGAAAATTTATAAAAAAAATTATTCCTCAGAATACGTTGTGTACCTGAATAGGCTTGCAGTATTTTATCTCTTTCCTAAATCTGTTCGGTATTCTTAGGGAGGATACAAGGGAGCTCATCCAGTTCATTTCTTCAATATTCTCCACAATATTCATTCTCCTAAACATAATCTTTAATATGTTCCACAATATACATTCTCCTAAACATAATCTTCAATATGTTCCATAGTATCCATTCTTCTAAACATAATCTTCAATATGTTCCACAATATTCATTCTTCTAAACATTATCTTCAATATGTTCCACAATATTCATTCTTCTAAACATAATCTTCAATGTTCCACAATATACATTCTCCTAAACATAATCTTTAATATGTTCCATAATATTCATTCTCCTAAACATAATCTTTAATATGTTCCATAATATCCATTCTTCTAAACATATTCTTCAATATTTTTCATAATATCCATGATCTTCTAAACATAATCTCCAATATTTTCCATTACCTTGACATTTTTTAGTTAAATGTAGTTGTTTATAGGTGTACTAAAATTATTTTTTATTTTCTCTTCATAAAACTGTTTATTCGCAATAGAGTATTATTAAGTCTAATTTCAAGTGACCCTCCAATCAAAGATAGAAATGCCGGATTTACAGCGGTACCCTTAAAGCGTTGTCTGTTCCGTATTAGATATACATGATTTTGTTTCTTTAAACTGCTTTTTTTCATTTGTAATTTCTCTCAAAAAGAAACGTGCGCATTTCTTGCTTATAAGAAGCAGCAGGGAAATTATCAGATTTAAAACTTTGTGAGTCAGAAAAAACGACGTTATCTTCCACATTGTTTATCAGGTTAAGGTGTTGATGGTACCGTTGTAAATCGTGCATCGCCATCTTTGCATTGAGGGTCGATTAGAATTATGCTTACACAGTCCCTTTAAATAAGAAACATCAATATGATAAACTTACTTAATCTGTGCCGGACACTCCATAAATATCTCAGATGACATTTTTATATCTTCCTCCGCCTAAAATAATAACAAATTAAATTTGTTTTATCACCTACAACAAGACCCATAATACTATGGAATAGGAAGGAGACTATTAGACTTATGATAGTTAGATAGGTAGAGAGTAGAGTTATGATAGTCTAATGAACATGAAACACCGCAGCTGTACAGAATATGTATACAGACCTATTTCCCTTATGAAGTTGATTTTTGCGTGTAAAATTTAGAGTATGGTTACTTAGACTAAACTCCTCATCCCTTTCTCTGAGCCATGGCTCAAGATAGAACCTGGAGATTGAGCATTGCACCCCGGATCTTTGAACAGTACAGACGTAGAGTTTACTACTACGTTCATTCACCTCTATACTGCTATCAGATAGATGTATCTTTAACATGCCTGTCAGAGAACAAAGGAGGCCACCAGCCTCCTCCTCCATCATTATGCATGAATATGCATCATCAGAATCCTCAGCATCACCAAGGGATTTGTCTCCACTGGTTTCTGGCACTGATCCGATAGTCCCCATACCAGCTAGTCCAACTATGGACCAGAATATATCAGATGCTCCTCTATCCTCTCCAGATGATTCTGTGTACGGAGTTTCTGGCGATCAAGAGCAGTTAGAGTATCCTTACAGACCTATGACTCCAGGAGAAGAAATCATGAGGATATACGAGGACGGAGTATACCGGCCTCCGGATATAATTGAGAGAACAGGAGGTTTCCAGATACGGAGGTTCTTTGTCAGACCAGGGAGCCTGTTATGAAATCAGCAGCAGAACCAGATGATCCTGAGTTCAGAGACGCTGCTCCTTGTAAAGCAGCTCTTCAGACCTGATGTAGAATCAGCAGCAAAACAATATGAGCCTGATACAGGAGACACTGCTCCTTCTGTTGACGAAGGGGCAGAAGCAGGAGATGATCCTGATGCAGGAGACGCTGCTCCCTATAGAGCAGCTCTTCACAGTCCTACTGTAGGTTCAACAAAAGGAGGAGATGGTCCGGGTCCAATAGAAGCTACTCCTCATAATGCAGCTCTCCTTAGACCCTGGACCCCAGACTTGGATCCAGAGTTGAACGAACGCCTGAGAGATACTGCAGAATCTTGTACTTCTCCATTTCGTTCTCCAACTCCAGAAAGACCCTTAACTCTGGAGCAGCCAGGATAACAGTAGAAGCAGCAAATGAACCAGCAGTGAATGTGGAATCTGTTGTTTATACATTTTTAGCTGTTGTTGAGAGATTGCTACCTTGGTTGAAGGATGATATATCGTCTTCTGAATCCTCCAATTCCAGGACTCCCAGTCCAGATATAGAACTAGTAGAGATATTCGAGTTTGAGGAAGCTGCTCGGAGAGATCCAGAACCGGAGCAGCTGAACGAGATAATTGAAGTTGAGGAAGCTGCTCAGATAGTTCCTGAATCTGAGCAGCTATACAAGACATTTGGGTTCGAGGAAGCTGTTCGGAGAGATCCTGATTCGGAGCAGCTGAACGAGATAATTAAGGTTGAAGAAGCGGCCCAGATAGATCCTGAACAGGAGAAGCTGAACGAGATATTTAAGGTTGAGGAAGCTGCCCAGAGAGATCCTGAACAGGAGTAGCTGAACGAGATATTTAAGATTGAGGAAGCTGCCCCACATAGATTCAGCCTCCTTATAAACAGTCTCATCAATTTTTAAGACAGGGCTGACTTTGAAGTGTCGCAACGCCCTAAGCTTAGATTTTACCGCTCTAACTCACTTATGCTTTTCTGTAGCCCTTTACATGTACATTTTAGCACTGTAAAGCACTTCTTGTTAAATTTGGTTTTTTAGAAGTAATTGGCAAAATTCTCAACGATTTTTGCTTGAGAGCGTGAGACCATTAAATCGCAGTGGCCCAGAGAGATCCTGAAGAGGAGTAGCTGAACAACGGAATTCCAGAAGATGAAAGGGAACTTTTGAGGATTGCTTATCGGAGTTACCTAAATACTAGACGGAGAATTGCTGTTATTGAGGCATAGATCTGAGCTTGTAATGATCTGGATCTCCTCCTTCCTCGTGATATCTTCACACCACATCCTGGTCCAGTACGAGGACAAGCTGAGCTAGATATGCTCAGAAGACCCAGAGCAAGGCAGAGAACCCGTTTATAGATGTTATTATTAAAAAAGTCTTTAAGATGACAAACTCTATTTATTAGTGAACATAACCGAAATCCAGAGAGATTATAAAGAGATTTTAGAGTACTGCGATCCAAGGTGAAACTTGTACACACACCTACTCCATGGGAGTATAATGTGGATCCAGAAATCCCTAGGATATATATATACCGAGATTGGAGAAAGTAGTCCTTGAAAGAGTCAAGATAAACTAACATGCCGTGAACTAGAACTAGAACTGTTTGCTACACAATATTAAAAACTTTAAAGTTTGCTTTATAAATATTGGCCGTGATTTCCAAGTTTTAAAAGTCTAACCATACTTTATAATTGCATCTTCCCATGTACAGTGTTTCACACAAATGATGAGAATGGGACTGTAAAATTTTTGAAGCAGATTAGAGGTTGCAATCGTCAAATAGCTAGGAGAAGTTGGACTAGGTACGGATACTTAATCTACAAGAGGTGTAGTTGGCTAGCTATACATAGCGAGGGGTGTTGAAGACAAAAAAATTTGAAATTTCTTTTTTAAATGTATTTCCACGGGCAACGCCGGGCCCTACAGCTAGTAGTGAATAAAATAGTCTTCATGTATTTCATAAACAAACACACGACCACTGATAATTTTTACAGAATAAAAATTGCAGCCTCTAAATAATTTAAAAATAATTACTTACCTGATAATTAGACTCTACCGAGGGCGGTTTCATTCTTCTGAAAAATGTGATCTTTTTAACATGAAATTGTCTAAAGTAAAAGAAATATAATCATCAAACATTAATTCTTGCATTTAAATACTGCGTTAAATTCCAATACAATACAAATATGAATACTAATTTTATAATCTATAACGTTGAAATCCCTAAATCATGTCAATTAATGGCTAAATACAGATTAAATAATAAGAAAAATCTTTAAGAAGCGAAATCACAATAGAATAATTATATTGATTGATTAAAAATAAATTAGGATAGGGGTGAAAGGATAGGATCGTTGTAGTGAAGACAGACAATCTTGGCTGGAAAAATCCAGCGAGGGAGGTAACCCACGGCTGCTGTGAGCCTCCGCTATGAAGTACGAGCCTACACTATACAGTAAACGAGCCTCCGCTCTCATGCTGCACAGCGGAAGCTCATGGCAGCCATTATCTGTCGTTTCAAATGTAAAAATATAAAGCATGTCAAAAATAAATGTAACTTTCATACAGTGACATTTAAATTAAAGTAGTAAAATTCCCATGAAAAAATAACTGTAGAAATGGAATGTCACATATGAGTAATTTAAATTTTATGAAATGGGGTATCTTTAAATGGAACAAAAACATAATTGTTTAAAAATACAGGATCTATTTTTTTGTGATTTACCTTTAATAATCAATTTAAATAATTTGTATGACGATAAAAATTGGAAAGACAATATTACATAATGATAAAACTAAAATAAACTACTAATAAAATAAATGTTCTACAAAATAATGTGATTTGTGATTTTTTAAACCTTTAAAAATAAAAAACATGGTAATTTTTAACGGGATGGCGACAAGTCGAAAGTTGTTTAAATTTGAATCATGAAATTTTGAAGTTTATTCTAATTCCGTCCAAATCATTAATTTGTCGATTTCTGATCAATATAAAATACATAAAAGCCACTCAAGACCGCGGTCACTGCAGGTCAGTATTGCTAAATGATAAACAAAAAGTTCCCTGGTATTTATGTTGATAACATTTTAGGCTTTACGGAAATCCAACAAGAAAATTTAAAACTGTCAACCTTACTAAGTTCCTGTAAAGGGCTGTGGAAGAAATATTAGGCGACCCTCCGTTAATAAAGTGACATGCCCAATTCACAACGGTACCCTTTAAACATCTGAACACCAATAACAAACCGCAGTTTTTCTTCAATAGAAGAGAAACCAAGATTTATTTTCAGCCAGAAAATCAGAGATATCTCATTAATCCTTCTCCGCTATGAACCGGACATGCGCTTTGAAAATGAAGACACCCCTTAAAATAAGATTTAGTCCCTCTGACTAATACAAAAAAATTAATATTGAAAATACATACAATAATAAACATGAATAATATTTGGTCATATATAACCTCAGCAAACAAAGAACTACATATGTAAATGAATTTGAAATATAATATGGCCGACATTGATCCCAAAAATTGCTTTTTGTTAACTAATAATCACAACGATATAAAGATACATAGAACTAAGCATTTAGCTGACTAAAATATTAATTTCTAGAAAATTCCATTCGTTCAGTTATACGGTCAGAAAGAAGATTTCAGGGTTGCATACAGAAATAGGCGGGGGGGGGTGAAGCATATTTTTGCTCACTTCTAGTTTAAGTCTCCATATGCGGTTGTTATCGAAGCAGGATAATGGTATATTATAGTATCTATTGCAGAGTGTCTCCTGAAGATTTAAATTGGCTGGTCAAGTTCTACATAGATCAAAATTGGCAGATTTCATGAAAGTTTACTGCAGCGGAATGAATCGGAACTTTGATTTCTTCCGATCATGAGTCCGCATGCAGTGGTTATAACGGGATGAAGCAGAACTCTCGATTTCTACCGATTATGAGTTCGCATGCGGAGTTTCTGTAGCCCACTGAGGCTGAATTCTGATTTCTACCGACTATGAGTCTGCATGCGGTGGTTCTGTAGCGAATTGCGAAAGAACTCCGATTTCTACAGATTCTGTGTCCGCATGCGGTGGTTCTGTAGCGTAAAAAAGCAGAACTCCGATTTCAACCGATTATGAGTCCGCATGCGGTGGTTCTGTGGAAAAGTAGGGAGCAGAATTTCGTTCTAACAACGTGTGACAAACATCACAGACAGGCATTTTCCTACCAGAACCCCTGGCAGCTACCTAAATAGTTAACACATTTAAAGGGAGTGTTTGTGAACATTGAAAGGGGTCTCAAAACCAAGTTGACAAATTTGAATAAAAAGTGTTAATGAAATTCACGACCTTTTTTCCAGGGGGAACGCATGAAGATTTTTGAATTAATTAATATAATACAATTATAGTAAAATAAATGAATAATTAAATATTTTTAGATTTTTAATGTAAGTAAATTCTACCTGTTTAGTTATACACTCAGGGCAGTAAATTCTGCCACAGTGTGAACAGTTGTTCTTCACTTTCCTGGATAATCCTGGATAACAACATATTTTATTAAAAAAGTAGTAGATTCAGGGAATTTTAAGAATTTTGAGTGTCATAAGTTATTCTCACAATGGGGTATTTTTCTTCAATAGGGAAGTGAATATGTGTATAAATGATAATAATAAATGAATAAATGAATAAATAAATAACATGATGAATTAGTTAGTGATTAATAAATTGAATGAATTGAATAAATGAATAAATTAATTTACCAGTTTTGCAAGAATTACAATCGGATACATCATCGGCATGCTGCCATCGGACCTAAAATTAAATTTTTAAACTAATCTACAATTTCACCGAAATTCACCGCCTAAAATTTTGATTTGGGAACTCTGTAGAAACATGGAATTGTACTAAGCTTAGTTTAAACATTCTAAGTTAACTCAGTTGACTTAGGTAGAAAAAGTTCAGTTTAAAGGCAAAGCTGAGTTTCCAAGCTCTATTTCTTGTAAACTCTGGGATAATATTACCTCTGTCTCTTCTTGTCGTATTTTCTCTAGTTCAACTTGTAAACTCTGGGATAATATTACCTCTGTCTCTTCTTGTCGTATTTTCTCTAGTTCAACTTGTAAACTCTCGGATAATATTACCTCTGTCTCTTCTTGCCGTATTTTCTCTAGTTCAACTTGTAAACTCTGGGATAATATTACCTCTGTCTCTTCTTGTCGTATTTTCTCTAGTTCAACTTGTAAACTCTCGGATAATATTACCTCTGTCTCTTCTTGCGTATTTTCTCTAGTTCAACTTGTAAACTCTGGGATAAACGGACAAAATCATTCTGTACTGCCACACTGGAAAAAACAAATTTCTTATTCATTAGTTTTTTAAAAATATATATCAATCCATGAATAAATCAATCAATCAATCAAATACACAATCACTCAATCAATCGATCCATTATTCCATTCTTAAAAACAAAATAATGAATTCAATAGAACCCTGTTATTGAATTGTTATATACAAAACCGTAATTTCAGTTGACTCGCCATTTATTGACATAAAATAGGCATTTTTGACTCACAACAGTATTTCTAAAAGCTTTGTCTAATCAAGAATGAATTAGATCGACATTTTTTTTTATAATTTATAATTTTCAATTGTGGTTTCTCTACGAAAGTAACGCGCATTTCTGCTAAGGAAACAAAAGAGGAATTATTAAAATAGTCAAAAAAAAAAGATATCTTCAACAATACTTAATGTGAAATGTGAAAAATGTCGAGCATATATAGTGAAAAATATCAAATTTAAGAATCGCTTTTTATTACCAAAAATGGCGAAACCAGAACAATATAACAATAAATATACTTAATTTAAACAATTTAAATGATAACATTAAGAATCAAGCGGTACTTTTAAAATAAATCAATCAAGTAATAAATCCATTAATCAATCATTTCATCAACCAATCCACCCATCAAACCATCAACCCATCAATCCATCAACCAAACAATCATTCCACCCACCAACCCATCAATCCATCAATCCATCAATCCATCTATCCATCAATCCATCTATCCATCAATCCATCAATCCACCAACCCATCAATCAATCCATCAACCCATCAATCCATCAATCCATCAACTCATCAATCCACCAACCAACCAATCATTCCATCAATCCATCAATCCATCAATCCATAAATCCACCAACCCATCAATCAATCCATCAACCCATCAATCCATCAATCCATCAACTCATCAATCCACCAACCAACCAATCAATCCATCAATCCATCAATCCATCAATCCATCAATCCATCAATCCATCAATCCATCAATCCATCAATCCATCCATCAATCCATCAATCCATCAACCCATCAATCCATCAATATCATCAATCCATCAATCCATAAATACATCAATCTATCAACCAACCAACCAATCCATCAATCCACCAATCCACCAACCAACCAATCAACCCAGCCATCCATCAATCCATCAACTCATCAATACACCAACCAACCAATCAATCCATCAATCCATCAATACATCAACCCATCAACCCATCAATACATCAACCCATCAATCCACCAACCAACTAATCAATCCATCAAACCTCTACCTGTTGTCCAGATCAGTTTGTAAGCTAAGTTGCTTGACTCGCATCTGATTAACCTGCGCCTCAGCAGTCTGTGCCGCCTGCCGTGCACACTCCAACTAAACAATTATCAATATAAAGTAGTAATCTTGGTTTCTTTGTTTGTCCGACATTTGACCGATTTGCCTCAAATTTTAAACAAGCAAGAAATTCTAGTTTTCATTTCTGAAAATTGATTAATTTCAATTGCAGTTTCTCTGTAGCAGTGACTAGTGGATTTATTTTTTCAGAATTTATCAATTTTCCAGATGTTTTTCCACATAACTGCTTTAGTGATAACCAGAAAACTGTAGAATATAAAGACGACATTAATACAATAATAAATTACATTGTTATAAAGCAAATAGCTTTACTAATTATTTATTAAATCACTTATTAAGTGAAATGGGTCTGTTTACACTGTACAAATGCTGTGTGTCAAGCTCATTGGCCCATTTAAAGTCATAAATTAAGTTCAAAAGTCGACTTCCTATTCCAGAGTTTTCTGGTTATCACTGTAAGATCATTTTTTTGGGGGGGAGGGGGGTATGAGCTCCATGAATCCACCAATGAATGAATCAATGAATGAACCTGTTTACGGAGTTCAGTTTGTGCTTGTTGATGTTTATTCTTAATCTCTTCTACTCTCTCCTCCATATTCCTTAAAGAATAAAGTTTAAAAAACGGTCTAGAAGGAGGGGGTTCTCAAAAAACTATTTGGGGAAAAAGCAACCAAAAGGATTTAAAAAAAGTCTCCTTGAATGTCGTTAAAAATTGGAAAACTGATTTATCTGCATTGAAAACGTGTATCAGTTAATGTTGTAATTAATGTTGTTAACCGTTTGGACAGTTTTTTAGTGAAAAAAACTAATAAAACTTTGAGATTTCAAACATATATTCTGTTAAACTTTGATTTGATTCAACTTAGCATAATCTTTGACCTAAAACAATATAACTAATGCTAGGGCTGTAAGAAAAATTAATATTTAAAATAAATTTGTTACATTATGCTAAATTTTGTTCCTGAAGAAAAATAGACCAGAAGGCACATCACTAATTGTAATTTGTAAAGAATTTAAAAATAAAAATTCCCAATTTGATAACAGCTTAAATTACCTAACCTAACCCCCCGCCCCCCTGCAGAGAACACGGGCCCCTGAAATACCTTCTTTTTTGTTTCTCCACTTCTAACTCCGCAGCACTTGGTTCTAATAGTCTCATACGGTCCTGAAGTGCCTGAAAACAAAAATGAAATTTAGTAAATTGTTACAAAAATAATTAATTTATTTTTGCACGTTGTAATGTAATTTCCGTGTGCGAAAATCAAGTAACAAGTCTGTTACTATGAATTACTATGAATTACCTAGGAAAAATATTACCTAGGAAAAAGAGAACTAGGCACGTTGTGATATACCTAATTTTCGACTGAAAATTGAGTGCAAACCATGTCCACACAATTCTCCTTTACCGATGTACAGACAAAGGCTTAAAGGGTACTGTTGTAAATTGTAAATTCGACTCTACAAGGGTTAATTAAACTGTTGTTCTAAACTGTACCTTTGATTACCTGCCTATCCGCCATGAACTGTTGTTCTAAACTGTCCCTTTAATTACCTACCTATCCGCTGTTGTTCTAAACTGTCCCTTTAATTACCTACCTATCCGTCATGAACTGTTGTTCTAAACTGTCCCTTTAATTACCTACCTATCCGCCTTAAACTGTTGTTCTAAACTGTCCCTTTAATTACCTACCTATCCGCCTTAAACTGTTGTTCTAAACTGTCCCTTTAATTACCTACCTATCCGCCTTAAACTGTTGTTCTAAACTGTTCCTTTAATTACCTGCCTATCCGCCTAGAACTGTTGTTCTAAACTGTTCCTTTAATTACCTGCCTATCCGCCTTGAACTGTTGTTCTAAACTGTCCCTTTAATTAACTGCCTATCTGCCTTGAACTGTTGTTCTAAACTGTTCCTTTAATTACCTGCCTATCCGCCTTGAACTGTTGTTCTAAACTGTCCCTTTAATTACCTGCCTATCCGTTATTAACTGTCCCTTTAATTACCTGCCTATCCGCCTTGAACTGTTGTTCTAAACTGTTCCTTTAATTACCTGCCTATCTGCCTTGAACTGATGTTCTAAATTGTCTTGAACTGTTGTTCTAAACTGTCCCTTTAATTACCTGCCTATCTGCCTTGAACTGTTATTCTAAACTGTCCCTTTAATTACCTGCCTATCTGCCTTGAACTGATGTTCTAAACTGTCCCTTTAATTACCTGCCTATCCGCCTTGAACTGATGTTCTAAACTGTCCCTTTAATTACCTGCCTATCCGCCTTAAACTGTTGTTCTAAACTGTCCCTTGAATTACCTGCCTATCCGCCTTGAACTGTTGTTCTAAACTGTCCCTTGAACTGTTGTTCTAAACTGTCCCTTTAATTACCTACCTATCCGCCATGAACTGTTGTTCTAAACTGTCCCTTGAATTACCTGCCTATCCGCCTTGAACTGCTGTTCTAAACTGGTTCTGTTCTGGTGTTCAATGTTAAGCTGAGAGCGCATGAACCCAATCTCAGTTTCCAACTTCTCCTCAGCTCTCTCCTACCAGGTATCATTATTATCATTGTTATCATTCAACATATTCGCAATGAGGTTTTTAAAAAAATATATACAGTGGTTGGCGTTAATATTAATACAATAAAGACGAGTTACCTTTTTAAGTTTTGATTTCTGACAAGCTTGTTTAAGCTACAAGTTTACAAGTAAACAAAGAGAAACTGTTATTTGACAGCTTCACTTTGTTAACAGGTAATGTACATCCATGCTGTTGAAAAGCTTGAAGGGAATCAAAATTGTCTTCATTGTATTGATAAATACGAAGATGACTGAATGTAAAACAAAAACAAATTGTTCATCTTTTACACACGGTAGTGGTACATTTAATCTATAAATTAAAACAATTAAGGGAAAAAGGGAAATTTGTACTTCCACTTGCAAGCTTTCCACCCTTTCTAAATATTTTTACCCCCACCCCCAAAAAAAAATACCCCCGATTTTTCCTCTGCGCATGTTAGACATCAATTTAATTTCCAAACCTTAGCAATTTTAGCAGTGATCAGATCTTCTCGATACGTCAACAGTAATAGTTGCATCTCCTCCAAACTTAAACAATAAAAATATATTTTAGGTTTTTACATTTTTATTGATCCCTTGATTCTAGTTAACATATTTGACTGATTTATGTTTTGTTTTCTAGTTGTATGTATTTTTCATGCATTTACATATTAATTGATAAATTGTTCATGGTCATTGATTTTTGATCACAAGTAGGGTTTCCAATTTGGTTCTGTAAAGGCCTTAATGGGTTTGTCTTTCTTGACAATATCAGGAGAGGTTCCGCAAGGCCTTAATAGATCCAAATTGTAAACCCTAATCACTAGTAAGTGTTACCTAGTCGGGAGATTTATAGCTTCATTTGCCATTGTAGAAGATAAAGCGCTATGCTTTCCAACCAAATTCTCATTCTCAGCCTAGATACAATTCCCAGTTGTCCAGTTGTCTAGATGTCTAGTTGTCCAGTTGTCCAATTGTCACTGTCACTGTCACTGTCACTGTCACTGTCACTGTCACTGTCACTGTCACTGTCAATATCATTATCATTGTCATTTGTCATCGTCATTGTCACTGTCATCATTCATCATCATCAATATCTCCATCATTAATATTATCATCATCATCAATATCATCATCAATATCATTATCAATATTATTATCATCATTATCATCAATATCATTATCAATATTATTATCATTACCTGAAGCCGTTGCAGCTCTGCGACAATTTTCTCTCGGTCTCGTGTTAAAAGTTTTAGATCTCTTTTCACTGCTTCCTTTATATTCCAATAGATAAAGGTCATCTCTAATTCAGAAAACAAAATGGCTGACATTAAAAGAAAAACAAAATGGCTGACATTTAAAATAAAATAAAATGGCTGACATTAAAAGAAAAACAAAAATGGCCAACTTTGCAACAAAAACAATTCAAATCATCCACAGCGATTTATATACAATTGAAATTGACTTGTAAAATGCGTTTAAGTTTCATGATGTCTCTACATTTTTTAAAGTTACATCCCACCCTTATCCTTAGCCATTTTCGCCCCTGGACTTGATGGTTTTCGCCACTGACCTGAATCAGCACTGCAACTGACTTTGATCGGCTTAGCCCAGTAATACAGTGCCGAAGTGGATCAGGAAGACGACATTCAATCAATTTGATGTTGTTATAAAACAGTTTTACCATTAGCTTAAATATCAATTATATGCATAAATTGAGGTTGTGTAACTGTAAACTGAGCAATTGCTGTGTTTCATGTTCATTGGACTATTTCATTATAACTTAAGACTAATAGTCGGTTGCCGATCTTACAGTTTTATGGTTATCCCTGTACTAAATCAAAGATGATAACTATCTATGGGTCCCTGGAGTCCTCTAAAGAGTGCAGATAGGCTGGCTTGAGCGGCTGAACCATCATTTAACCTATTTAAGTATATATTGCACAACTTCTAAGAATCCATTTAAAGGGCCAATAAGTTAAAATTGTACTCTTAAAAGCTTTGTCTGATCAATTATGCATCCATCTTTGTATCTTTAAATTGATTATTTTCAAGTCCGGGTTCTCTGCAAGTTGACTGGCAGATTTCTCTTGCTTATACGAAGAAATTTTAAGAAATAATCAGGAAAACAATGTTCTTTCGCATGGAGGGTCACTTGAAAATACGTTTACAGTCTTAATATTAAAATTATTGTATCCACATTAGAAACCTTATATTATGTAATTACGTGTTTAAATATATTACCTGGCCTGTAATTCTTGAACTTGTACTTCATATGCTTCCCCTTTACTGTTCCAAACTCCTTCAATTTCTTTCCTAAAGCAATTCAATTTCAAAAAGTCTATCAAAGAGCAATTAAAATTAATGGGGTCTATTGTTCTTTCTAATTATCAGCCTCCTTGTCCTTCAAAGGCCGAAACTTCTGTAAAGTTAATCCATTCAGAAAGGTCTAATCCATATCTTAAGTAATCTGACCAATTGGGAGCCACAGAATATCTGTTCTGGGCCAATAAGAGATCAAAGAATCCGAATCAGCTGTTTTTCATAGATTAAGCAATTAATCTGTTTTGATTGAAAGTGTCCACTGGGATACAGAGTTAAAGCAAGATTATAAACAGCCCAGGTGGGGGTTGGGGGTTGGGGAGTCGAGGGTATAAAAACATTTAGCTAGTGCATTTTTTTGCGGTATTAATTTTTTCCTTTGGTATAGGTGTAATAAATGCAATAAAAATCACCTAAAAGCAGCTTCCTTTAACAGATCATTCTTATACTTTTCACAGTTGCCGCTGAGATGCTCCTTTTCCCTAGCAAGCTGCTCCTTCTCCTTCATCAGCTCATCTCTCTCCTTCTGGATTAATTTTAATTCTAATTTTGACCTTTCCAACTCCTCGGAACTAGCTTCAGGGCCTGAAATTGAAGAAAATTTACCCTTAAAATGAAACTCGGAGTTAGGTAATTATTTATTTTTATTTATTTTTTTATTTTTTACACTCTACAGCGTTCTTAGTCACTGGTAAACAAGCGGACAACATGTTTCAGATCAGGTTAGAAATAATAAGAGTTTATTGTGTACAATGTACAATGTACATGGACTACACTTCAGAAATGTGTACTACTTCTGGTAATTATCAGAAATCAATTTAAGAGATGATATATGATATAAAGAAAAAACACTCCATTGCAGTAAACATTGGGGCCTCTTGCAGATTTCACTTCCTTAAGAATCCTTACAATACATTCTGTGGGTCATTTCTATAACTTGACATTTCCATTTGATTACAACAATTCCCCCCATATCAATCAATCAATATTTGGGATCGCATTGGAATTAATTATATGAACCCCTGCAATTTTCTGGTCTCTACTCACCTTTAGCTTCTAACTGAGATCCATTTGATGAAAACAGGGTGTCAAGCATAGTTTGAACTCGTTCCCATTCCTCCATACTATATCAGACATAAAAAGGGTTAAAGAGACTGTACTCCATACTATATCAGACATAAATAGGTTTAAAGAGACTGTACTCCATACTATATCAGACATAAATAGGTTTAAAGAGACTGTACTCCATACTTTATCAGACATAAACAGGTTTAAAGAGACTGTACTCCATACTTTATCAGATATAAATAGGTTTAAAGAGACTGTACTCCATACTATATCAGACATAAATAGGTTTAAATTGACTGTACTCCATACTATATCAGACATAAATAGGTTTAAAGAGACTGTACACGTAATTTGAAGTGACTCTCTGTTTACTTAGATCAAGAATGTATATTCCACATTTTCTCAGAATAAGCTGATTATCTTTAATTTTGCTTGGGAATTTCTGCTTCAAAAACAATAAGAACAAATTGTCAGAATTAAACTCTTTGGCTAGTAAAACGACGATATCTTCAACAATATGGATTAAACAAGGTTATAAGAAAATTATTGTGAATCGAGTATGCCCATCTTTAAATGGAAAGAGATTGTTCAAATATTTGAGTTAGACAATAAAGATTTTATTTCATTGATTTCAGTTAGGCTTTTTTGTCATGGTCTAATATTTTTACAGACCTAAAGTCTTAAAAACAATAATAACATATCGGCAATAAAATATTTTTGTATATAAATTCCTATTTTGAGCCCTCCTCCCCCCTTTTACGCCCCTGATGAAGAAAAAAAAATTGAACATTTTTCCTGTCCCGGCCTAATGGTTTAAAAGAATATAGGTGCAAAGTTAGCATCATTTATCTCTATTATTACACGAGTTATTACAAACTCCAGTAGACTAGTGAGGTCCTTTTAAATAATAATACAAAAAACCAGCTAATACCTGACAACCCTCGTGGCAGGGGATTTATTTGATTTATCTAAATTGCATTTTCGGGCATTTTCAGCGTCTGATGATATTTTGCGGATTTCTTGTATCTGATCCTCGTCCTTAACGCACTGAAGAATCTTGGTGATCTGATCGTTGAACGCTGACCGTTCGACCAGTAGCGCTGTATTGGAATTGGATAAACTAGCTCTAGACACAAAACAAACTTTTTATAATAAATTTTAAAATAACGGATTTACTATTCAATTGAAAAGTAAAACAACAAAAATATGTATACAACACTTATCAATCCTCGTTTTATTTAGGATGGCAAGATATTGGTATAATTAAAACCCATTTAAAAATACAATTTAAAAAATTTCTTTTCACAAAAAATTATTTATATGAACCCCAAAAAAACCAATGATAAAAACTTGCCAATAGGTCAAATTTTTTCTAAAAAGGTGGAGGAGGTTAGTCAGAAGGGGAGTTTTATATATTCCCCTACCTGGAATCACTGTATTCTACCTGAGATCTTTTACTTCTTTTCTTTCTGTGTCTAATAATCCCAGTGCTCCGTCCCGATCTGCTTTCAGCATTTCTACCTCCTGCAGATATTATTTCGAAGTAATAATTAATTCCAGCTGATCTAATCTTCAGAAGGATGAAACATTAAAGGGACTGTATACATAATTTTAAGAGACCCCCATTTAAACGGTACCCTTTAAACCTTTATAGGAGCAGCAAATAGTAAGATATCACTGTTTTTCTAGCTAAAAACATGTTAATTTTTGACAATTTCCTTCACTGCTGCATAATCTGGTATCGAGTTTTATGTACAGGGTGTTCCAAAAAACGATCTTAAAGACATTGTAGCACTCAACATTGTTCAATTCTTAAAAAGCCAAAATGAAAAACTTCAAACGGTCAATACTTCTTTAATTTAAGGGCTACATAGTACATACTCTCATTGATATCAATCGATCGGAAATGTTACAAAGATTTCAAAAAAATTTTAAAAATTGAATCATAGTGAGTGCTGCAGTGTCTTAAAGATCGCTTTTTTGGGACACCCTGTAGAGAAACCGCAATGGAAATAAATCATCAAAGATATCTTGATTATTTTCGCTGAGACAACAGTTTTAAAGATACTGTTGTGAATCAGACATGACCCTCTTAAATTTAAGTGCCCCAACATTTGTTAACGGGCATTTCCATTTTGTTATACCCTTTAATCCTTTGTCTGATCAAGGATGAATGAGATATCTTCACTTGCATGGCTTAAAATTGAATATTTTCAATAGTGGCTTCTCTATAAAAGTGGCTTGCGCATTTTTGCTTCCAAGATAATTCAAAGTAAATGAAATAAGATATAGGTTTTAAGGGTACTGTTGTAAATCGGAAAAGTATGTCATTATTTAAATAGAGGGTCCTTTAAATTGCTTCTTTCAAAATTTATGATCATTCCCATTAGAAGTTACAGTCTGGAAGTAACTCAGCCATGAAGAATGCCGCGTACTCAAAGTGATGAAGAATGCCGTGTACCAAAATGATTAAGTAATACACATACTCAAAATGGTGAATCCTGCGTACTCAAAGTGGTGAAGAATGGCGTGTACCTGAGTAAGCATTCCTATCCTAGCGGCGAGGATGGTGTGGTAGAGTTGACCCTCGTCCTCACTATACCCATCCCCAACCTCATCTTTCAGCCTGATCAGCCTCCATTTTATTTTATGCATTCGGAAAAACGTTTCTATTTTCCAAGATTGGGGAAAAGGATAAATTGGAAATCAAGTCGTATTAATAAGTTAAAATCAAGCAATATTAATCATTCGCTTGGGGAAATTATTCTTAAAAGACTGAGGGGGGGGGAGCGGGGGGGGGATTAAAACTGTTCCGAGTATATAAACCCCTCTGACAGTTGTAAATAAATGGAAGTTCCTTTGTTCTAAAACAGATTTATCTTCTCCATTTAACCAGGAGCCAACACATTGCATTTCTAGCAGAGATCTAGCCTAACAACATTAAGAGGTTTATTACCGTGCAATGAAAATTAAAAAATTACAAACAAAAAATAATATTATCCCTATGAAGCACTAGTACTAGGTGGGATACTCGCGCACCAGACCCATGGACCCGCATACTCCATGGAACCTTCTCAATTATTACATCACCCTGGCTTAGTTGAGTGTTGGCAGGTTTGCATCCTATGTCATTTAACGTAAAGACATCCGACAACGAGTTTAATACCAGAATGCTAGGGCAAGCAAGATGTTCATTGCTAGTTGTAAACAAATAGATTCTAGTACAATAGATGGCACCGTAGAATTTGTACACTCTCAGTACAGTTGTATTCTGTCGTCACAAGTGTCAATTCAGTTTTTGTTTCCGAAAAAATTATCAATAATAGTGATAATTTTAGAATAAAGTGTTTATTTTTTAACAGAATAATAAGTGCAATTTTATGTGTTTTTTTTATTTTCTGTTTTTACACTTTTTTATTTAATCTTGGAAAACATGTCAACTAATGTGAGACAATTTCAATTTCCTTGTTATATTTGACACTTGTGACGTTGTGTATAATTGGTTCATTTCTCTGTTGCCACCTATTGTACTTGATAATCTATTTCTCTGTTGCCACCTATTGTACTTGATAATCTATTTCTCTGTTGCCACCTATTGTACTTGATAATCTATTTGGTTACAACCTTGGGCCGAAGGTTTGAACCCCCGCCCTGAGTTCCGTAACTTGTGACGCTACTCACTTTGCCATGGTAGAGCAGTTACCTGTCTCTTCTCATATTCTTGTAGAAGAGAATCAGTTTCGCGTAGTTTGCCCTTTAGGGCAACAATCTGCTCCTCTACAAATACAACATAACTGTTAGTAATGAACATCCGGATTCGGGTACACCAAATCCGCAATTTCCTGATAGATAGGAAATATGGATCCGGGTCTACCAAATCCGCAATTTACTAGTGGATCCGGGTTCACTTAATACGCAGTTTCTCAAAGTCCATCTGACCCTGTAGGATCCGGATCCGGGTATATAGATGCATTCATGAACCCATATGATTATAGAATTATCAAATTCGATGATAAATAAAGAAAAAGAATCAAATCAAATCCTTCTTCCACAATCTACAATTCTACATGCAAATCTTAAACCCATTGGTATAAAACTTTTTAAAATATTAACATTGGTCATCGCGTATTGAAAAGACTGCAGACGACAAAAGAACCCGTGTCAAGTAAGACATTTTGTAATATCTCTTTCAATATTAATAGCAGCCGGTTCTATTTTTGAACGTAGACTCATATAATTTGTTAGGAGCAGGATATGAAGTCAGATTGTCGATATCTCTTTCCGGAGTCTTGGAACCTCTGAAAAGTGACCTCCGTCGGCTCCGATTTTTTATCTCCGGCCTCGTTGGACATAAATAGCCCTTTGAAAGAGATATTACAAAATGTCTTACTTGACACGGGTTCTTTAGGACAGAATCGGCAAATAAAATCAGAGATGACCCAATGAGTGATAAGAGTATACCGTATAATATGTGTGTAATGATTTACTAATGTAATGATTTTACAAATGTGTACAATGTACATATTGTCAAGAATATATCAGGGGGGGGGGAGGAATTTAAATTTGGATATCAAATTGGCAAGTTTTTCCACTCTTTCTGAAACCTGTTTCCCAAATAGGAGAATAAAACCTTAAAAATTGTTTTGGAGGTTCCGCGCAAACATAATTGACATCCTGAGGAAAAAATTATTTTCAAGTAGGAGGGGAAGGAGCAGGGGGGGGGGGGGAGATTGTCAAGAATCAAATAAATACTACCTAGTGGTTCCACTATAGATTTTAGAGCTGAGGTATCATCCTGTGCTCTTTTCAATTCCTCTTCAGGAGTCAATCCTCCTAGGTATACAAAATAATGAACAATCCCTTGATCTATAATCCTCCTACATACAAAATAATGAACAATCCCTTGATCTACAATCCTGCCACCTATTGTACTTGATAATCTATTTGGTTACANCTACATACAAAGTAATGAACAATCCCTTTATCCTTCTTTACAGATTTATACAATATAACCCCTTTACCTACATTCCTTCTTTATTCCTTACAAAATACAAATACAATAAATTTATCTATTATTTAAATACTCGACGACATAATTGATTGATTATTCGAATACTCTATTGATTGAATGATTATCGATTTGAATAAAAAAATTAATTGATTATTTACTTTAATACCTAATGAATTGATTGATTTTCAATAAAAACAGCTGATGATTTGATTAATTGATTATTTACCTGATAGATTAACTGATTGAACAACTGAAGATTTCATTTTCCTGACCATCGTCTTTGTTTTATCTGAGAGAACAACAGCTGATCCTAGTAGGGACTCACGGTCCATAACGTTACCACCTAAGAGAGACTGTAGATGTAGTTTCATGTGACTTCTCAATTTGTAGTGGGGTTTGCCCGATTTACAAAGCTATCGTTTTACTTTCTTAAACTGTGTTACATTCGGCATAATTAGTAACTACATGTATCTATTTTCTAAATAAAAATTTGTATGGGGGGTGGGTTGTTCAATTTATATTATACCTTTATTTAATGTTCGTTGGCCCTCTGCTATTCTGTAAAAAAAGATCAAATCAAACAAAAAATAAATATGGTTTGCAGAAAGGATAAACATTAAACATTTTAGCCGGGGAAATAGTTAATAATTAAAAAAAAACTAAAAAGAACGTAAAATATAGAAAAATAAGTAAAAAAATTGTTATTTTACGTTGACATCTTTGACTTTGTTTCTGATTGAAGGTATTAAACTCATAAAATTATTTTTGATTTTTTCCTCAATTGTATTTTTAAATCGTGATTCTCCGACTCTAGGGCCTTCGCCTTTCTTCTCAGATTCATCACCTCTCCTTCCTGTAATTTCAGATTTTAAATACTTGATTTCCCCGTATTAGTGAAAAGCTGGCTATTTCTCACGCTAGCCTTGACAACATTATTTAATCAATTGTGTGGACGATATTGTTGTTTTCTATGCTTGGTGTTTAATTCTGTTAACTTCTTATGTTTTCCTGTAGTAGAAATGCACAAGCCACAATTAAAATCCACCACTTTTCAAAACTAGAAACACAGATATTCAATTCATTCTTGATCCGACAAAGCTGTAAAGGATACCCTTGTGAATCTGGCATTGCCATCTTTGCATGGAGGGTCAAGATTAGCTAGTGTAAAACACCTTTTATAAAAAAATATCTTCTTGGAGAAAGGTTTATATGATATTTTTCTTAAGTTATTGGATGAGGAGAACGTTATAATTTTGTTAACAGTCCCTATAAAGAGTTGTACCTGGACTGACCCCTGACTAGCTTCTACCAGGAGAGCCTGCAGGGTTGCAATCTCTTCTCTGTAAGAATTATTCTCACGCTCTGATTGGACCAAACTCTCCTGAAGATAGGCGGACACCGCTATCTAGAAAAAATGTGTCAAAAACAAAAGAAAAATCAAAAAATATTATCTAATGTTTCAAAGATACCATTTAAAGCCTGTACCTCCGACTTAGCATTGTCTAGTTCCCTTTTTAAACTGTGCAATTCATCTTTCATTCTAGACGCTTCCATTTCATAAACACCCGTTGAAATCTCTTCAGTCGCCATTTTGTTTTCCACGCTTAATTTTGATGCCAAATTTTGATGATCAGCTAAATCCCCCTCCAACATGGTTGCATTCTTATCTGTGTCCTCGGGGAAGAGTTGAGTACTTTCCTCCTGGTTCACCTCAGCAAGGCCCTCAGGGATATCTGATCCAGGTTTTGCTAAAATTAAAATGTAAAAAATGTTGTTTTCTCTATCCAGAATTTTTCCACAAATGCACATCATTTAAAGACTGCATAACGTGTGATAAAAAGAGGCATGGCCGATTCACCTTTCTCTTATCAATAATGTGGAAATGGAACAATTCGTCGTTTCTCTATGGCTAGAAAAATGCTTTATTCTGAAAATTGAACCCAAATTTTTCAGAAATCCGCAAGTCGCTTCTACAGAAAACCCCAAATTAAAAAAGTTAAATTACACAAAGAGAAACATGGATATCTCAATCGGTCTTAATCAGATAGGTGTGAAGCCTAATTAGCACAAAAGAAAATTAAAATAAATTTTTCCTAATTTCTATTTTTTACTTACGCAGTTCTGCCTCCTCCATATTCTGATTAATAAGATGAACCAATTAACATTTTAGTAATTTATCTGAAATAATCGAGTATTGAAGGAACAGTACGTTTTCAACTGCATGAAATAGACAGAACAGTAGCAAACTGTTTTTTCTGTTAATTAACAACTGAAAAATGTTTTTATTAAATAATCCAAGTTTGGAAATTTACATAGCCCTGAAAAAATGGTACAAGACATTATAGAATTGAAAATTTAGTGAAATTCTAATCACATGGTTTAATACTGATAAAAAAGAGCATCTAGAAGGATCAAAAATTGAAAAAACTAAAATATTAATAAATAAATTTAGTGTATAGGTACAGTAGAGAATATAATCAGCAGAACCATTCCAGTAGTCATTATCAGCGCAGGTATCCAGGTCTTTAAACATCCTTAATAAGAGATTAAATATCTTTAAACATTCTTAATATGAGATTAAATATCTTTAAACATCCTTAATAAGAGATTAAATATCTTTAAACATTTTTAATATGAGATTAAATATCTTTAAACATCCTTAATAAGAGATTAAATATCTTTAAACATCCTTAATAAGAGATTAAATATCTTTAAACATCCTTAATAAGAGATTAAATATCTTTAAACATTCTTAATAAGAGATAATATATCTTTACACATTCTTAATAAGAGATTAAATATCTTTAAACATCCTTAATAAGAGATTAAATATCTTTAAACATCCTTAATAAGAGATTAAATATCTTTTAACAACATCCTTAATGAGAGATTAACTATGTTAATGTTTCTTAATGAAAGATTAAATATCTTTAAACATCCTAAATAAGATATTACATATATTTAAACATTCTTAATTAGAGATTAAATATATATAAATACTTTGCTTGTTTGTCTGTTTGTATCCAATAAACGTCAAAACGGCTGAAGAGATCGGGTCCCAATTATGTTTGGGACCTCACATGACCCCAGGGAAGGTTAATGGATAATCAAAATGTCAAAATTTAGCCTCTAATTCATTAAATTTGGAAAATCCACCATTTTTTTATGAAGTCCGCGAACTTATTGTTTGTTTTTGTTTTACAATGTATACAAAAAGAAAATGTTCAATTGAAAAAGAAGATGAGCGCCGCCTATTTTCTTTCAACATCCTTAATAAAGAGATTTGAGCTACTTAGGATCTTTGAAAAATAAATAAATGTAATTCAAGTTTTTGTAAACATATTCATCAAAAGCTTGAAAAAGCGAAAAGAAAATTATAATAATGGTTATCAAGCTTTTTTTAAAATTTATGTTATGTGAATTTTAATTTACCCATCATGGACACGTTCTTTCCCCTGATCAACATCATGAAGCAGAGAGTCACCATGTTCCAGCTAAAAAAAATTTCATCATTTTTTTTGCATCTCTAATCATGAAATTTAAACAAGTCTCAAATGATGAATAAACAAGACAAGTTTAAAATAAACAAATGGGAGATTCGTTAAGCATATTACCAACTATACCAACTGGTATATACAACTGGTACCAGTTTCCCAAGAAGTAACTTACAAAATATCTCCCAAGTGGTCACTTGCCCATTGTACTTAGGGTCATGACCGGTCAAAGAAAAAAAATGCTTTATTTGCATTAATTTTCGACAATTTTTTTGGAAATCTACAAATGAAAACAGTAAACATTCAAAGGGAATCTAAGAATGAGGGGCGCCAAGCACCCTGGTTTATATACCTAGTGGATCCATCATAGTACATCAGGTTCAGAGCTCGGGCTACATGGCTGTGACAGTTGTCACATATCAAGTTGTGCATTCTAATAAGTAATAATAATAATGATAAAAATAATAATAATAAATATAATGTAATAATAATAATAATAATAATAATAATAATAATAATAATAATAATAATAATAATAATATTAATAATTCTTAACTCTAGTTACTTTCAGCAATTAAATATTTTATTCAACCCCCCCCCCCCATAAAAAAGTGAGCTGTGATCAAACATTAAATTTTCAAATACGTCATTACAAAATAATGAGTTTAAACCTTTTTGAGTATATTTCTGATGCTTCTGCAACAGCATTATCCCATCCAACAGCTCCCCCAACAGCTTTACTAGGATCCAACTCCCAATATCTAGAACAACACCAGTATACAGCATGGGATATCCAACAGCTTTACTAGGATCCAATTCCTAATAACTACAACAACAAAAAAATTATCCCATCGAATAGCTTTACTAAGATCTAACTGCCAATATCTACAACAACAGTATACAGGAAGGGATATCCTACAGCTTTACTAGGATCCAATTCCTAATAAATACAACAAAAAAAATAATACACAGTTCAACAGCTTTACTAAGATCTAATTCCCAATATCTACAACAACAACAGAATACAGGAAGGGATATCCAACAGCTTTACTAGGATCCAATTCCTAATAAATACAACAACAAAAACATTATACCATCCAACTGCTTTACTAGGATCCAACTCCCAATATCTACAACAACAACAGTATACAGGAACGGACATTCAACAGCTTTACTAAGATCTAACTCCCAATATCTACAACAACGACAAATGTATATGTTTTTCAGCTGAATAGAAAAATAGAATATCTTCTTGAAATCAGTTTAAGTATGTCACATTCTTTTTTGCTGTCTTCGGTAAATTTCCTCCAATTCGCTCATCTCAGTGCGTCCACTAAAAGGTTAGTTTCAAAACTACTATACCAGGTTGGGTTTACAAACTAGTGTACAAGGGGTTTCAAACTATTGTACTTGGTTGGGTTTCCAAACTAGTGTACAAGGGGTTCCTAACTATTGTACTTAGTTGGGTTTCCAAACTATTGTACTTGGTTGGGTTTCCAAACTATTGTACTTGGTTGGGTTTCCAAACTATTGTACCTGGTTTGGTTTCTAAACTATTTCACCTGGTTAGCTTTCAAAACTATTGTACCTGTTTGGGTTTCAAAACTATTGAACCTTGTTGGGTTTCCAAACTGATGTACGTGGTTGGGTTTTAAAACTATTGTACCTAGTTGGGTTTCCAAAGCATAGTACTTGGTTGGGTTTCCAAACTGATGTACCTGGTTGGGTTTTAAAACTTTTGTACCTAGTTGGGTTTCCAAACTGATGTACCTGGTTGGGTTTCCAAACTGATGTACCTGGTTGGGTTTCCAAACTGATGTACCTGGTTGGGTTTAAAAACTATTGTACCTAGTTGGGTTTCCAAACTTATATACCTGGTTGGGTTTCCAAACTAATTTACCTGGTTGGGTTTCCAAACTTATATACTTGGTTGGGTTTCCAAACTAATTTACCTGGTTGGGTTTCCAAACTTATATACCTGGTTGGGTTTCCAAACTAATTTACCTGGTTGGGTTTCCAAACTTATATACCTGGTTGGGTTTCCAAACTTATTTACCTGGTTGGGTTTCCAAACTTATTTACCTGGTTGGGTTTCCAAACTTATATACCTGGTTGGGTTTCCGAACTATTGTACCTAGTTGGGTTTCCAACTTATATACCTGGTTGGGTTTCCAAATGCCATGTTATCCTCTGACACATAATATGGTCCGGCAAAATCTCGGATAACGCCCTTAATAGTCAATATATACATTTCCTTTAGAATTCTTTTCTCTTCAATGAGAGCTAGAGAGTGAGAGAGTGAGAGATACAAAATAAGTGTTGTTGGTGGGTTTACAAGGGGGAGGGAGGGGAGGGGGGATGAACTGTTACAAGGGTATTACCGATGACATGCATATTCCCATATGACCGATGAATGGGAAAAGCCAGCTGAGACAAGGTATGGGAGTCCATACTATACAGTAAGGATATCTAGAGATACAACATTACAATTAACTTCATTAATGGGAGTGTTCAGAACTTTAAAATGGAAGAGAGCGTATCAGAATTAAATCATTAGTTTATTGATCATATAACCACGAGGCTTTGAACCTCCTAGCTCTTATATCGCAATATTTATTTTCCTGGTCTGTTATTTTAAATCCAATAAACGCCAAAGCAGTTGTACAAGTTTTTTTTGGTGGCAAATCACTTAACCCGGCAAAACTGATGTACATTGGACTTTTCAATTGAGTCTTAAAGTCGTCTTCCTATTCCACAGTGTTATGGGTCCCACTATATTATCTGTAGTAAAAAATTAATATGGAATTCATTAAAATCTTGCAACTGGATTGTAGAAAGCTCTAACCACTTAATCGAAATGCTTTTTTGATCAGTATGATTGTAATTAATGAATTTAGAACAAAATATAGATTATATTCATAATAAAGTAATCGTGTATCCCTGTGACGTTCTTTGTCAATTTTTCCGTCCGCCATTGTCCGCCTTTACATTTTCTGAAAATACAAAAGTTTAAAATCACACAGAAGTGAATTCAGATAAGCTGAATTGTATAAATTAAACCATATTTAATAAATCTATCACAGACCAAGTTACAGGAGAATCACACACAAATCTGCATTTTAACACAGGCATAAAATGCAATAAATAAATATTAAAGGAACTGAGCTGGGAACTTTTGAAAGATGGATATCGGGATTAAAGCTTGATCTCCTCTTTTTCTTAATCTCGAGATTAAAAAATGCTTGTTCTCCTCTTATTAATCTCCAGATTAATTAAACGATCGGGATTAAGGATATCCTATTCTGAAGTTTTCAGCTCTGTACACTTTATTAAAATGTTAGCTCCAATTAAACGAGTGGTATTCTATCCGATTCTCAACAGTACCTTTTGTACCTTAAACCTGAGTAACAATGAGAAAGATATCGTTGTTTGTTCATCTTAAAAAGTCTAATCAAGAAATATAAAAAAAATTCTTACGGATTTCTTCTGTAAACAATAGAGAAAATTGTCAGAATTGAATACTTTTCTATCCAGAGAAACGACAATGTCTTCCACATTATTGATCAGATAAAGATTTAAAGGGTATCGTTGTGATTCAAGCATACCCCTCCTTTAATGGACTATAAAGGAAAAATGAAAGGGGTACAGGATGAAACCTGAGAATCTCAGGAGTTGAACGATACCTATAAGACAACTATCTATATCCTTTACCCCCTTTCATTTTTCCTTGTAAGGTATATAAAAGTATCACAGCAACGATGTGTAGAAACCTACAAATGCAAACGTGTTCACAGCAACAAAAAATTAATATAAACCGAAACCCATATTAATGAACAATTCCTTTTTATGTTAGTTCCCTGATCAACATTTTTTATTTAACAAAAACATAAAAAGAAAATATTTTTTTAAAAATTAATTTAGAATTAGAAACTTGAATAAAATTTAGGAAATAAGTCTTAAAATTTCTGTCTCAAGGTGTTAGATCCCCCAGAAATCTTTAAAATTGAACAAAACTTGGAGGCGCAAACTTTTTAGGAAAATAAAGAATCTTGGTATCAAAATAAATTAAGGCAACGTTGAGCAATGCGTTATCAAGGCTTCAATGTTTTCTCTTCTTGGCTAATTTCGGGTTCACAGATTAATATTAGAGGAACTTCGTCCATCATCGGTGAATCTAAACATAATTATGATGTTAAGGGGAGTGTCTGCAAAACAAACATAAAATTTATTGAACTTTTTTTGTTGATTTGTTCATGCTTATCAAATGTCTTTTTTTTTAAATATTACAAATTAAATATCAGGGATAAGAATAAGATTAAATAATAGTTCAACCGACTGGAATAATTTAAACAACTTCTTTTTAGCTAGATCAAATTAGTCCACGAGGTTCAACTATGTCTCGCTATTCATCAAATCTTGTCCCAATTTTATTTTATTATATTATATTAGATACCCACTGGCACACCAATAGATTGATTGACTGATTTTTTGGTTTGTCCTTTACAGACCTAGGTATAATTTTCTGAGCTTAACAAAAAAATTCAATTCCTTTTCCCATTTTAATTAATATTTGAAGTAAAAAAGATGGCCGAATTGAATAGAAAATTGAGACACATTAAAGTTTTAAAGCTTTAAAATGTAATACTTTTAGCTGAGAAAAACATCACTTTTGGGCGGGATAGTGGTGACAGGATAGTAGAAGAAGAGAGAGAGCTGAAGGACAGCAATCAGGAATCCAAGAAAATTTGGTATTTTGATGAAGGAGTCCTGGAGTATTGTTCCGTACACAGTCCACAGTCCGGTTACTAAAATTAAATCATGATTAGGGCCTGACAAGTGACCTACATCGTAAAAATGACATTGCCCGATTCACAATGGTACCATTCAAACTTTGAATTGATCAATAATATTGAAGAAAATGTCGATTTTCTAGGTTTAGTTTAATTCTGATAATTCCCGTCTGTTTCCCTGCAGTAGAAATACACGAGTCACGCTTGAAGAGCACAATTAAGAATAATCATTTTACAAAATTATAAACAAAGATATCTAATAAATACAAGATCATACAGAGCTTTTAAGAGAACCGTTATAAATCAGGCATTGTCATCTTTGCATTTAGAGTCAGTTGTGTCAACGTGATTTCAGATCACCCTTCATATGGAGTTGCAATGATTCGCCTAAATCTTTGGCGATTATGCGAGTTATTCTTTTATTTTTGCTCTTTTACTTTTTACAAAAAAAATCATTTGTTTCCCCTAATTTAGCTAGAGAAAAAACTAATATTGTTCCAAAAAAATATATTTTCTAGAAAATATAATTCAGAATTAAACATCTTTTAGTCAAAAATGTATTTATTACCTATAGTTGTCATCAGAATAAGGAAGAACGGGAGTGTATTTGCTGATTTCGTCCTGAGTAAACAATATTTTAATGACGATTAAAAAACCTAATATTATATAATCATTATGCATTAATTAACAGTGTAAAAGAAACAAAGTCTAAAGGCAATCGTTTTAAATCACTTTAGATTTGTATTTTGTACTGTACAAAAGAAGGCTTTGTTACGTCAAAAATGAATGAGATATCAATAATTTTTTCTTTGAAAATTAAATTGATAATTTTGCCTCTCTTTAAATTGAAGGTGGATGTAAGATCTGGAGATCTTTATATGACTATTGTTCAGGTTGATTCACGAAACACGAGACTATGCAAGTGTTCCTACAGAAGTATTCAAGATTCTGATATTCTAATCTACAAATATTTATTCTATACTTAAGAGTTTTATCCTGAGAAACTATACTTATTGGACTTTTTAACTTGAGAACAAGAATTTTAAATTAGATGCCAAGCCTATATATATATATATATATACAATCTTAAAAAGCTTATCCAAGTTTAACATAATCTTGCAAGATTATCTTAAAAGTGTATGAAAAACGATAAAATGCAATTTAATATTTAATCATCTGAGAAACTGTAGCAGCCAATCAGAGAAAAGCGGGCAACCAATGAGAGAACAGAAATATTCTCATTGGAGAAAACAATGGACGGATATCCAAGGAGAGAGAAAAAGAGTGGATTAGGACTAAAATGAAAAGTTTCCACAGTGGATATTCGGATCAAGAAGTCAGGATTAAAGTTTATCCATTCTAAAGTTCCCAGCTCTGAACTCTGAACTATTTTTAACTTTCAATAATTTATTTTATTTAAATTTTACAATATTTTTAAATATTCATATAATCTCAGATGGAAATATTTGAGATTTCTATATTTCTTGTCCTTCATTTTTTTCTTGTTGGTCCATTTTTCAATCATACTTCGGCTAATTTTGAAAATAAAAAGAAAGAATTTTGTTGGATGTCCTTGTAGTTTGCTGTGTTACAAGTAAGAACTATTTTTAAATGATTTTGCTTTTTTTCTGAGCCATCAATTTGAAATCACTGAGTATCTTGTTTTCTGAACTCGGAACTATAAATATAAACAGGTGATCAATTGAGTGGAATTTCAACTAACTCTCGGTTTATTCTTAGATAACCCTGCTGATCAACTCGCTATCCTCGAACCTGGTCTTCTCCCTCAGGACAGATGGATTTGTTCCTCTGATCCGAGTTGCCACTCTGATCTTCATCTCACCACAAGCCTGCCGTAGCTGCCATCTCTCCGCCGCTGCTGCCATCTCTCCACCATTGCTGCCATCTCTCCGCTGTAGCTACCATCTCTCTGCTGTTGCTACCATCTCTCTGCTGTTGCTGCCATCTCTTCGCCGTAGTTGCCATCTCTCCGCCGAAGATGCCATCTCTTCTCCGTAGCTGTCATCTCTCCGCCATAGCTGCCATCTACCTGTCGCTGCTGCTATCTCTTGTTTTCCTACCTAATCACATGATTAATTGTTTTCCTACCTGATAATGTGACTAATCCTTTTATTATATGATCATGTGATTAATTTTTTTCTTATCTGATTATGTGATTAATCGTTTTCCTACCTAATCACGTAATTAATTGTTTTCCTACCTGATCATGTGATTAATTGTTTTCCTACCTGATAATGTGATTAATCCTTTTATTATCTGATCATGTGATTAATTTTTTTCTTACTTGATTATGTAATTAATCGTTTTCCTACCTAATCACGTGATTAATTGTTTTCCTACCTGATCATGTGATTAATCCTTTTCTTATCTGATCATGTATTAAATCGTTTTACCCCGTGCTCACGTGATTAATTCTTTTCCTACCCGATGACCTGATTAATCGCTTTCTTACCTGATCACGTGATAAATCGTTTCACCACGTACTCACATGATTAATTGTTTTCCTACCTGATCACATGATTAATTGCTTTCCTACCTAATCACATGATTAATCGTTTTCCAACCTAATCACATGATTAATTGTTTTCCTACCTGATCACATGATTAATTGTTTTCCTACCTGATCACATGATTAATTGTTTTCTACCTGATCACATGATTAATCGTTTTCCTACCTGATCACATGATTAATCGTTTTCCTACCTGATCACATGATTAATCGTTTTCTTACCTGATCACATGATTAATCGTTTTCCTACCTGATCATGTGATTAATCGTTTTCCTACCTGATTAGGTGATTAATCGTTTTCCTACCTGATCACGTGATTAATTGCTTTCCTACCTAATCATGTGATTAATTGTTTTCCTACCTGATCACACGATTGATCGTTTTCCTACCTGATCACGTGATTAATTGCTGCTAGGGGTGCTCCACAGTAGGCCACAGACAAACCAGCAGCTGAAAAGAGTAGCAATAATAAATCTTAAAAAACTGAATTCATGCACGATCTTAGCTTACAAATTAAGGAGAAAAGTTTTTCTAGACATGTCAAATCAAAATCAAATCATGTGTTTAGGGAGTCCTATCCAGTCCACTCCTCAAACTCGAAATGAATTTACTATATCAAGGATGAAGTGAGATCTTACAGTTTGTATTTTGTTGAACTTGATGTCTAATTTGTATTTAAAATTAAAATTTATGTATTGTACATTTACAGGGTTTCGGTAAAATAGAAAATTGCATTTTTGAACAACGGACTTCCATATTACCAGACAAATTTATTTAAATCAAAAGAAAGAACATAAAACAAAACACCATACATTACTGTCCATCTCAAAATCCCTAATTTCGCTATTTCACGTGGCCCTCCATTTACAGAGGGGTACCCTTTATATCTTTTTCTGATCAATAATGTAGGAGATATCGTCATTTTTCTAACAAGTGTTATATTCCGAACATTTTCTTCGTTTGGCAAAAAAATACCCCACTTGAACAAAATCTATTTTCAAAATTAAAAACATGGATATCTCATTCATTATAATCATCCATGGCTTTTAAGAATACCGTGCTTAAGTAGAAATCCCTCTATAAATGGAGGGTTACTTGAAATTACGTGTATAATCCCCATATATAAAATATTTACCGAAGAATCCAATATTTTGAGTAACATTCACTCCATAGGTTATGTACACGTGTACAGATACAAGGATCAGTACAACTAAACCGGTTTATTCAACTTTTATTGAGGGAACCAGGCAGACAGAGATATATATAGAGACAGACAGACAGAAATATAGAGATAAGACAGACAGAAATATAGAGATAAGACAGATAGACAGACGAACAGACAGACAGAAAGACGGAAAGAATGATAAGACAAAAAGAAAGATAGACGGACGGACAAATAGACTATTTGATGGATAAACAGATAGACAGACAGACATAAAAAGAGACGTTTAGACTTTTTTACAGTGAGACACAGAAAGCGATGAAATTAATGTCATCTTTATTGTTAAAATTTTTTAAAATTGTCAATTTTTGCAACTAATATGTTCCGAAATACATTCAAAATGATTAGTATGGATATACAGTGACTCATTAAACAGATTTATGGTCACACACTAGGTTGCACTATTCACATTCGAGAAATAAGATTTTAAACAAATCGACAAAACTTTTCAGAAAAAATTGCAAATTCAATAATTATTTGAGATAAAACCGCAAATAAATGACATTATCTGGAAAGGATCCAATTTTAGATACTTACTTAATTTACTTTTAAGGGACTGTAAGCGTGATTTCAAAGATGCTTACAATGTCTGATTCATGATAGTACCCTAAATGCTTTGTCTGATCAAGAATTATAAACCTAGAAAAACGACGTTATCTTTCACATTCATGATCCGATAAAGGTTTCAAGGGTATCATTGTGAATCGGACATTGCCATCTTTGTATGAAGGGACACTTTCAATTAGGCTTTCAGTCCTTTGAACGACGAATTCCTATCAAGTATGATGAATATCATTTGCAATTTAAATCACTGAAGCCTCTGAGTATGCATGTAAATAAATCCAAAAATGACCAGTAAAATAACTAAATAAACAGTTGTTTTGTTAGCAATAAACATTCTCAAATATAGAATACTAGACTTTTAGAGCGCTTCTCGCCCATCATCAATCCAAAGTATTAAGTGTGGCTCTTTATGTGAGCATCTTCTCTTTGTACAAACCAATAACAAAAAAAGTTTGCGGATTTAATGATATTTTTTTGCACGTCTTTAAAATTTCACGAAAATCTAAAGTTTTGGACATAATTTTTTGTAATTTTCAGCATCCATAAACCTTTCTTGTCGAGCTGGGAACTTTAGTATGAAAAATCCTTAATCCCGATCCGTTAATTAATCTGGAGATTAAAAACACGAGGAGAACAAGCATTATTTAATCTGGAGATTAAGAAAAAAAGAGATCAAGCATTAATCCCGATATCCACCATTCAAAAGTTCCCAGCTCTGGGGTTATTAGACGTCAGATCCCACACAAAGTTTGGGCCCGTCGGTTCAGCCTTTTTGACAATTATTAAATACAAACGGACAAGCATACAAACAGACACCAAGATAGAAAAGCAAAGGATATATATACAGGTTTCCTTTTTAAAAAAAGGTGAATAAAATTCCTAAAATGATTTTCTTCATAAGGTTTGTTTTATTGACGGCATATACATAAAAGAAAACGATGTAGAAACTAAACAAATCAAATTTAATTATACAAATCACATGTCAGCAAAACATGCTGACAAAGATATATTTATGTGAGAAAAAAGAACATTTTTAAGTTCTTCTTTAGAATAAAAAATAAAAAAAAGAACATACCAGGGGTGAATAATGTATATATACCAGGGGTGAATATTATTCCGAAAACTAAAAATTTGACATCAACAGACATTTTTTTATTTTGATATTTTTTACCCAAAAAACTTTGTTTTCTCTTGAAAATCATTTATTTCACCCAATTCAGCGAATAAAACCCTGAACAAATTCTGGCGGGAAAAATGATTATAAAGTGGGGGTGGAGGAGGATAATTATATTCGAGTAAATATACACCCTTTTGAAGTTCAAAATCCCTCTCCTCCCCCCCCCTAAAATGATTATATTATTAAAAAGATATTTTTTAAATCAAATTTGATTTGTTCCTTTGAAGAATAAACCCTGCTCCGTTCACATTTATCACATTAGCATCATCTAAATTAAGTAATTAATTGATTGATTGATTGATTGATATTGATTGATTGATTATCTGAATATTTTAAAGGATTGGACTTTTCATCATAACATGAGTTTAAAAGTCGTCTTACTATACCACAGTTTTTGGTTCTCGTTGTAATTTTGGGTTTAATGATTCCAATTATATTTTATTGCTCTGAAATGTCCCAAAATTGAATTATTGTGACAATGTACATTGTACGTATTGACAAATAATTGGAAAACAATCTGTTTTGATAAATACAATATATATAATTTGTAAAACATGCATGTAAATAGTTTGCTTTAAGTTAAGGCCAACTGTTAAATGTCAAGTTAATAATTAATTACAAGTTCGAATTACAAAAGTTACTTTAAAATTATGTTCAATATGTAACAAAAGGTTAGAACATACAGTGGTCGACGTTTATCTTAATACAATGAAGACGACTTTTCTGTTTAAGTTTTAATTTCTAACAAGCTTTTTATTAAATTCTACAAGTTTACAAGTAAACTAAGAGAAGCTATTAATTGAAAGGCGCTCTTTGTGTATTCATGCTGTTTACAAGCTTGGTACCAGTGCTTAGGATCCGGATCCGTTGGATCTGCAAGATTTTGGCTTCCTGAATCCGGATCCGCAAAAATATGCGGATTCGCGGATCCGGATCCAAGGAGTAAAATATCAACCAAAAACTTAAAAAAAAACTTTTTTACTCCTAACACCCAAATCTGAACTTATAAAAAAGAAAGCTTATAAAAATTTCCTCATTTCTGAATGGTTCATCAAGTTTTAGGATAAAAAAAAGCGAAAAAAAAATTGAAAATTATTTTTTGCTAAAAAAATTCAGCAAGTCTTATAAAAATTACCTGGATCCGGATCCATTTTTTTCCAGTGCGGATCCGGATCCGCATCAAAATTAAATGGATCCTAAGCACTGCTTGGGAGAAATCGAAAGTGGTCTGAATTGTATTGATATGAGGACGACTTTTAAAGAGAAAATTCAAGTGCCATTCATTAATATTAAAAGACAAAATTTTAATAACATTTTTATTTTACTATTCGCCATTTTCTAAAATAAAATAAAGTGTGTATTTATGTATATTCCTACCTATTAGAATTCCGTAGTTGACCCAAACAAAAGTCATGACAATCCCGACCAAAAAGGACATCGGAGATAAATCTCCGGAAGTCTGATTCAAAGATTAAAAATTATTAATTAACTTTAGCAATGATTTAAACAACACGAGGTTTTTAATTCACTTTAACCCCCCCCCTTCTTTAAAATCATTTTGCAGACTTTTCTGCTACCAGATTTCTAACCCTTCTTTAGAACAATGTCAATTCTTAAATTCTTAAACTTTCCTTAGTCTTGTAGAGTTTCAAGCATATCTCCAGTCCAGAAAGAAACATTCCTATTTAGAAACGTAAAATTAAATCTAAGAGTGACATAAAACATTTTTTTTTAAATGGATAAAACACAAAAACTGGGACAAGTCCAGAGCCCGTTCTCTCCATTGAAAGTGGTCGTGTACTTCACGTACTTTGGGGGACGATATGTTGGCCGCTAGATGTTTCATGCTAAATTCTTATCTAATAGATATTTCTCCGTACATTTGACGACCAATATAGGAGACGTCAAGTTGTCGACCACTGTAGTTTTTGGAAGGAAAGGCCTCAGGTGTGTACCGTATAGTATGCGTACTGTACACAGTACACTGACAGTGTACACTAGTCATGGTATGTTTGATTGATGCACGATTTAGCGAGAACTATTTGAAACCAACGTCGTGGCTCTGTAGGAAAGAAAGGCATTGTGAAATCATTATTTTCTAACAATTAAAAGCGACTTTACATTTGTAATTGAAATTACAGTTCTGTTATAATTTGAAATCTGTTATTTACTGTTTTTGCTTAATGCAGAATCATGCAAATTAAAATCAAAGCTCTGTAGTATATCTGTAATCTGAGCTGGGAACTTTTGAATAGTGGATAGCTGGATTAATGCTTGATCCACCCTTTTTCTTAGTCTCGAGATTAAAAAACGCTTTTTCTCCTCTCGTTATTGTTCTGGAGATTAATTAATCGAGATTAAGGATATCCCATTCTAAAGTTTTCAGCTCTGTATGTATAATGGAAGTTGTATAATTGAATTGTGTATTTTTTACAAATTACAGTGTAAATATGTAATCTATAGCCGGCCAAAACGTAACTCAGATGTTAGAGAGACATAGCAAAAGGGTATGTGGCATAACGCTCATATTAACCTTGGTATTTCTGCCAAATAGTTGACGATTTTTGAAATTCCACAGGCAACACCGGGCATTTCGGCAAGTACGTTATAAAGGTGTACCTATAGCACAAACTGTGGCTGTATTCCCAATAACATCCTTCCAGTCCTCCAGACCCATTTTCTCAAGGTTTTATGTCTCTGAAAATATTAAATAGTTAATTTTTGGGGTACATTTTGTAAGTTTAACAATTTCTTATGAGTTACAACATTTAAATCCATATAAAGGGATTTGGAATTAGAAATGCTGAACCCACAGTTTTTATACAAATTACAGTAAAATAGATTCTAATGTCTGCTTTTCAGGCTTAGTACTGGGGTTGGCATAAAATTGAATTATTTTAAGGACGCAAAGAAAAAATTTGAATATGGGAATGGAAATGCGTATTAATATGGAGGTGTGGATCAATGTTTTGAATTTTAAGGAGAGGGAATTTTAGGGCGTGGATGAGAGTGAGGTTGAATCCCCTCTTCCCCCCCCCCCTTTATTTCTTTCTTTGCCAGATTCACAACGCTTCCCTGTAACCCTTTTATCTGATCGGTAATTTGGAAAATATCATTGCTGTACTTGACAAGTGTTTAACCCCCCCCCCCCCAACCGCAGCACTAAGCATTGTTTCTGAATGAAAGCATGATCACAAAGTTCACCTGGTTTTATAATTACAACATTGTAAATAAATGTAGATTGATTTAACAGTATGAAAACTACAGAAAATCAGCGGAACTGTACATGATTGTACGTCTCACGCTGTTTTTTTACATTGTACAGTACATACACGAAGTATAAATTGAACCCCCCAATAAACATGAGAATTATGGTCGGCGTTAATTTAGATATTCAGACCAATTTTTTAAGAAAACCATCTTTACAGATTGTCTCCTATTATCCATGTTCATTGGGGAAAATCGAAGAATTTAAAGCAGAAATCCGCAAATCTTTGTTTATAGATGAAGTGTACACTTTTTTGTAAACAAAGATTTGGGGGTTCATGAAATGAACAGATATTACAGTATGTATCTTGATGTAAAGTCTTAAACATAATATGTGATGAATGAAGGTATGATGAAGTATTTATGAATATTGTAGACTGGTGCTAGTGTTGGGCTTTTGATTTCATTCGTTCTTTAAGACTTCAACGGTTTTTGGACTTGGAGTTGAAATACAAAACTTTTTTTTTCTAAAATTACTATTTAATTGAATGATGGGTTGTCTGCTAATAATAATTATAATAATATAACATTTTAACCCTGGGAGAATATATTTGCATGAACAAATTAAAAACGAACCAAAAAAAACAATCGTTCACGAAAGAAATCAACGCTCAACACTAACAGGTGCAGGTTCCCAATTACCCCGTACATTCATTTTAGAAGAGTATTTCAGAAAAAGCATCCGCAATGGATCTAAACCTTTCGGTCTGAGACGATATCAGGAATTTCGGCTCGATAAATGTTTGTTCGAAATTCGTGGCATCAACTTTTTCTCAAATTTTCAGATCACAATAAAAATAATATCGTTAACTATGAATATCCCTACCTACACCACAATCACAAATTCTTAAATACTCCCTGAAAGAAATTGAATGTAGACCTTAATTAAAAGTAAGCGCCCATTAACATCTAATGTATGTCGGATTCACACATTCATCCTTTGTGTAAAGGGTACCAATGTGAATACGACATGCCCAACTATAAATGGAGGGTCACTTAAAATTACGTTTTCATTTCCTTGAAAGCTGAAAAGTATTAAAACGGTTAGAGTGATGATTTTTTTAGAGAAACAGAAATAGTCAAAAATTATATAAATTTTAAAAAATTGATGATTATGCAAACAGCATTTGTTAATGGCCCAAATTCAAAAGAAAAAAGTTTAACAGTAAATTGTGTCTTTGTTGTCAGGTTGAAGAGGTAAGTAAAACAGTATTAGTACTTTCCAAAATTTAATTTCTCAATGGCACTTAAAATTTTTGTTTTCAAATCCCAAAAGTGAATTTTCTCAAATTAACTATTCTACCATTTGATCACCAAGATGATGAAAAAAATTTCTGCAGTTAATGTCAGGGAGGGACACAGAGGACCGAGCGCTGGAAAAAGTACCCCTTAATAATACAAATTTTGGGAAGCTGCCACTTGAAAAATTGTCACTATGGAAAGAACCTAACAACGTAAAAAGTGTCCTAATACAAAATGGATAAAAATGGGGGTTTACGTCCCTCCTTAGCCTTTTAGTTAATCCTTGGTCACTTCGTAAACATTTTATTACTCAGTGGTCAATCCTTGGACATTGTATTCCTCCTTGGCCGCGGCAGCTCACCAAACACGTTGTCTCCAAACACGGAGCTGGAGTACACACTTCGGGCCATAGCCTAAACAGTAAATATATCAGATGCCATGGTTTAAAAGCTTAGTCTCGAGTCTAAATTCCCTTATCTCGAGTCTAAATTCCCTAGTCTGGAGTCTAAATTTCCTAGTCTCGAGTCTAATTCCCTAGTCTGGAGTCTAAGTTCCCTAATCTGGAGTCTAATTCCCTAGTCTGAGCCCGCGATTTAAAAGCTTCGGCTCGAGCTGTAATTCCTTAAACCCGACTTTAAGACCCAATCTTCGACCCAACTCTGACGACAGCTTGTGTCACGTGATTGACAGCTGCGAGATCTTAGGCTAGACTTAAGGAGTTAGGCCCAATGAAAATAAAACCGACCTTGGTTGGTTTTAGTGAAGAATAAGGCTCAATGTTGGGTCTTATTCTCATCAAAACCCGGAATGCGCCAATTCCAACTATGAAAATCCGCCAAATACAACATTAAACCGGTTTTATGAACTAAACTCTGTTGAAAATTAGATGCAACTTAAATCCGAAAGCCCGAGCCGTAAATAAGGCTCAACGACAGCTTAGATCTGAGTCGTATTTTCTTGAATTTTTTAAATCGCCGGCTCTGGAGTCTAAGTTCCCTAATCTCGAGTCTAAATCCCTAGTCTGGAGTCTAAATTCCCTAGTCTGGAGTCTAAATTCCTTAGCCTGGAGTTTAAATTCCCTAGTCTAGAGTCCATATTCTCTGTTCTCAAGTCTAAATTCTCTAGTCTCGAGTCTGAATTCCTTAGTCTGGCGTCTAAACTCCTTAGTCTCGAGTCTAAATCCCTAGTCTCGAGACTAACTTCCCTAGTCTCGACTCTAAATTTCCTAGTCTCGAGTATAAATTCTCTAGTTTCTACTCTTGAGTCTAAATTCTCTAGTCTCGAGTCTAAATTCCCTAGTACAAATTAATTCCTCATATCTTTAAAAAACATTAGTTTCAATAAATCTTAAGATTCGAGCCTTATTTTAAAAAGGTTTCCCTCACGAAGATTAGTTGAATAAGGGTAGGGGAAAATAGAACTTTAAGCTTCATTTAACTATTGTTTTAATTTCAAAAGCTCTATATCCATTTCAGCTTTGTAGTTCAGCGCTATCTAAATCAAAAGTTCCGGTCACTGTTTACTAAAATTTAAACCTGTATTGATGCTGCAATATCTGTAGGACGATCTTCTTCGTTTTTACCTTCATCAACTCGCCTGAACAGGAATGAACTATTATTAGAAGGACCGAGTAGACTTGACCCCCTCTCCAATTCACAACGGTTCTTTAAATAGACTTGACCCCCTGTCAATTCACAACGGTTCTTTAAATAGACTTGACCCCCTGTCCATTCACAACGGCACTTTAAGTAGACTTGACCCCCTGTCCATTCACTACGGTACTTTAAATAGACTTGACCCCCAGTCCAATTCACAACAGTACTTTATAAGGACCGAATATACTTGACCCCCAGTCCAATTCACAACAGTACTTTAAAAGGACCGAATATACTTGACCCCCTGTCCAATTCACAACTATACTTGACCCCCAGTCCAATTCACAACAGTACTTTATAAGGACCGAATAGACCTGACCCGCAGTCCAATTCACAACAGTACTTTAAAAGGACCGAATAGACCTGACCCCCAGTCCAATTCACAACAGTACTTTAAAAGGACCGAATAGACCTGACCCCCAGTCCAATTCACAACGGTACTTTTAAAAAGTTTTGTCAGAAAATAATTTGGTGTCTCTCCATGAACGTGACTAGAGCATTCTGCGACGGAAACATCGAAGAAAAATTGTTTTAACTTAACACTTTTTTATCTAGAAAATTAAAATATCTTCCACAGTATTTTTTAGATAAAGGTGTACAGTTGTAAATCAGTCATGGTCCTCTTTAAAACATTAAAACTGACGTTCCTTTTTATGACCTATTTTTGTCTGGTTTTATAAACTTAACTTTTTGATAATAATTTCCCAACTTGCTTTTTAAAATTAGTTTCCAACCAGCTGTTTATATGATATCTATATTCCCTATAGCCGGCCAAACGGCTGGACCGAATGGGCTGACATTTTTTGAGGGAATCCAAAGGCTAAAAAAGATTTTTTTTTCCACTGGCAACGCGGGGTTTCTCTGCTAGTATATTATAATTTTTAAAAAATATAATTTTTTTCCAAATTATAATAAGTTTGATTTATTCAAAATTTAGAAAAACTTTTTTCTGAAATTCTATTTTTTTTCCAAATTCCAAAAAACTATTTTCCAAAATTCAAATTTAAATTTCGAATTTATTTCCCACCTGCTTTTATTCATCATATCCTCGTTCCAAGGAATCCCAACAGGAAGAGAAGCTGCAATCTAGAGTTTACGTTAAAGGGATTGTACGCACAATTTGATATTGAATAAAAGGGATTGTTCACGAATTTTACAGAGGTCGCAGACACAATTTGAGTATCTAGCTATGAAGGTTGTCAACGCAATTTTAGTATCTAGCAATAAAGGTTTTCAACGCAATTTAAGTATCTAGCTTTAAAGGTTGTCAACGCAATTCGAGTATCTAGCTTTAAAGGTTGTCAACGCAATTTTAGTATCTAGCTGTAAAGGTTGTCAACGCAATTTGAGTATATAGCTATAAAGGTTGCCAACGCAATTTTGGTATTAAGCTACAATTTTAGTATCTAGCTATAAAGGTTGTCAACGCAATTTTGGTATCAAGCTAATAGAACTGTTATCGTAATTTTACATTTAGTTAAAGGGATTATCTATAAGGATTTTTTATATACTTTTTACCCTTTTTATTGATACTCCCCCCCCATCCTCTTTTTGATACTTTATAAGTTTATATGGAAGGAGAATGAATTTTCACGAAATTATCAAAAACTTAAATTAAATAAAAAAATTAAATATTATTTTGTTTACCTCGACCGGAGTTCGTTGATTTGCAACTCCGATATTGGTAGATTTCTTGCCCGGGATATAGATACCCTCGTCTGCCTCCCCCTCCTCCTCCTCCTCGCACTCGGAGTAAACAACAGACATCGGAGATCTAGAGTCATCAACTCCCTACGAGGTAATGCTCGTGAATTCACAGCAGTATAAGTTATCATTTTTGCTAAATTGGAGAAAATTAAATAATCTAAATTCAAAACAAAAAGTCCAATTTTACATTTTTGGATTGAGGGAATTAGGTAATGATAATAATTTTTAAAAGGAGGAATATATTGTTAGGAAATACCAAAATGGAATAACGCTTTAGCTTTGATGAAGGACGTGAATTTACTAGCTGTTCTAACTCTTTTTTATAAAGTTTTCATTTATAAACTCATTAATTTACCCAACAAACGAATTCATGTTCCCCCCAAAATCAGCCAATAGAACCGAAAAACTGATTCTGAACATTTTATTAGAAATTATAACACTATACAATATAAGTCAGTCGAGTTACATTCCGTGGATTGTAAGGCCACGCCCAAGATTATCTATTTCAAAGAAGCAAATATATAAAAAATCTCTGTCACTACAAATCACAAAACCTAATTTTGCCTCAAGTTTAAATCTATTTTTCTTTAGAACTGATTGTTTATAAGAGAATAATAACACCTGTTATATTAGTGAACATCTGGATATAAAACACAAGTGTGAAATGAAAATCCAATGTATCAAATGTTAAGAAAGCAGGAAACCTTAACGGGGGGATCATGCTGTGGTGGGATGGTGTTATGGACCAATGCGTAGTGGTTCCCTTTGGTTCGTTTTCTAAAAACTTTTAAAATTGTATAATTACCAGGGATATAAAGTTTGTGCTAACCAGGGATACAAAGTGTGTGCTGACCAGGGATATAAAGTGTGTGCTGACCAGGGATATAAAGTGTGTGCTGACCAGGGATATAAAGTGTGTGCTGACCA